TGACTCATTAAAATAGCCAAAACATACCAGTATCAAGAAAGGAAACAAAGATGACATTAACAACTACAGACCCATCTCCATTCTTTCCCCGCTGTCAAAAATTCTTGAAAAACTTTTCTTTAAAAGACTCTCTAATTTTTGCTGCTCCAACAATACTATCTGCAATAACCCAACCACTCAACTGAGCTTGCTATTCTTGACTTCACTCAGCATATACTAAATGAAATGAATAACAAAAATCTTTCTATTGGCATTTTCCTGGACTTATCCAAAGCCTTCGATGTCATCGATCACAAAATACTCCTATCCAAACTACATCATTACGGAGTAAGAGGCACAGCTCACAACTGGATGAGAAGCTATCTTTCATCACGGACGTACACAATATGTTTCCATGGACAACATCAATTCAAAGCACGCTCTTATTCATCACGGGGTGCCACAAGAATCCATACTAGGACCCCTTCTATTTTCTATCTACATAAATGACCTCTGCAATGTTTCGCCCTCAGCCAAATGCGTACTGTTCGCAGACGACACCAACCTTCTTTTTACTTCCAACAACCTACCAGATTGCTCTGAACATATCAATCTTGAACTCCAAAAATACTCTAACTGGTTATCCAATAACAAACTAATCATAAATTATTCAAAATGTGCATACATTATTTTTGGCCCAAAAATACTCACCAACCAAGCTCCTAACCTAAACCTATTAGTTAATGGTGTTCCTATAAGCCGCACCCTGTCTACCAAATTTCTTGGAATCACCATCACAGAAAATCTTTCATGGAATTCTCACCTACAAACTACCTCAGACAAAATCAACAAACTCACAGGCATCTTCTACAAAATCAAATATAAACTCTCTCTTTCTGCTCTTCGCACGCTTTATTACACATTCATCTACCCTTATCTAACCTACTGCATCACACTATGGAGAAATAGTCCAAAAAGCCACCTGAATAACCTAATACTTTCCCAAAAAAGATCAATGCGTTTAATTTTTAACCTCAAACCCGATTCTCATACTAAACCCTTCTTCCTAGCAAAAAAATTTTACCAGTTAACTTCATCTGTCTTTACTACTCTGCTTTATTCGTTTTTAAATTTATCAACAATCTTCTCCCACCTCACTTATGGTATATTTGGGTGGGGATGATGAACAAATGATGCGGATGAATGGTCTTTATGAATGGTTAAACATTTATGTGTTTATATATGTACTGAGCGAACATTTATATCACTTTATCAACTTCTACACATTAAGTAACTCCGTTCAATCTACAACCACTAGACACACCCCTCTCTTCTATATCTACAAAACTCGCCTCAAATTAATCCAGACAAGCATAAAAATAACAGGTCCTAAAATTTGGACAGAACTTGTACCTCCCCATCTTAGAGCCATCATAAACCTACAACATTTCAAGTCAAAATTCCGTGCTTTTTTATTGACACTGGATCTCGACTCCACCACCTAATATTATATTAAGAATACGCTAGAACAAATGATGCGGATGAATGGTCTTTATGAATGGTTAAACATTTATGTGTTTATATATGTACCGAGCGAACATTTACATAGTTATATGTCTATATATGTATGACACGAACATTTACTTATTTATCTTCAATTTTCTTTCTGCTTCAGTTATTTTCCTTATTTTATTTCATTAACTATTCATGTATCTACCTGCGGTGGCCACCACAAGACAAACAGTCTTATTCGGTCTCCGCATATTCAACTTCATAACTTTTATTCACTTATTTGATATGTTGTTGATTATGAATAAAACTTTGAAAATGAAAAATGAAATGAAATATCAATAGGATGAAACTTTCACGTTTGGAGTAATTAAAATTTATTTGAACGTCTCATTATTTTCTTAAAGAAATAATTTTTAACTGAAAAATGCTACAAACGACAAAATTTGAATTTCTGAATACTTGAAACTTGAACATTTGAAGAAAAACCATTCAATTTCAACTTTTTTAGTTTTACGGAGAAAAAAACTAAACTTGTTTTTTTTTCTCAAATAATGTTTGATTGTTTTGAGCAATGGTTGAACGAATTTCAATACTTGGTAGAAATTATTGTTGGTGTTTTGTCGGAAGGTACAAATAAATTAATTAAAAACTGTTCATGACGAGAAGTTCACTTGTTACGCTCTTTCTGTTTCATGTGCAATATGGCGGTCACGAAGCTGAAGAAACTTCCGATGACGATGGTCGATCCAAGGACTGCAAACGTGATGTCGTAGTTGTTCGTTTTGTCAAACAGGAAGCCTGATGAGTCATCAAAAATGCGACATAAAAATGAACAATATAGAGGAGGAAGAAAAACTTCCAACCAGTAAACGGAGAGCTACACAAGGAACTTATAGCAAAGCACATGCAAACCAAGGGCCGAGTTTTTGTAACATTCTTGTTCCTTTCAGATCCACACTGATGGTCACGTGCAGACTGAATATGAAGCCTTGTGGCAATAAAAAAATGTATTTTCACAAACATTTGTTTGTTTAGCCGTAGCATTTTTAGACTCTTTTGTGCATAATGCTAATCATTAGTTTTTTTTGTCATAGAGTAAAGTTTTGTAATAAAACTGAAAAACAACTTTCTACCTTTAATCTAAATTAACAACGGTATCTCAAATAAGTTATAAGAACTAATAAATGCATTCTCATAGCTCAAAATTTTTAATTTAATTTATAAAAAGACAGCTTTTATTTTATAAGAAGGTAAAATAAATTTTAAGTAAAAAGACAGTGAGAAATATTTGAACAAATTCAGGAAGGAAACTTGCCGGCAACCAGTCCAGCTAAGCAGCAGTGCAACACCAAGAGAGGGAAAGTTTGGAAGAAGTAGGGACACATGTACAATAAACCAAACTTGAGCACAGCAAACAAGAACAAAAATGTTCGATTGATTTTTACGTAGTATGTTGTAATGGCCATGATCTGTGCAAGGCATTTACAGTAAAAAAGTTTTTTAAAAATATTTTTCGTGTTGTTATAACATCGTCTTATAATTTTTTAAAACGACAATGTAAAATTAATAGCCTATTTTCAATTCGATCATCAGAATTAAATTTGATAAAACTTTATTCAATGGAGGCAAATGCATCGTTACAAAATATGAATAACAAACCACTTTGGAAACAATAGCCATGCCATCTGTTGCCACTGGCAGGTAGCTGATGAGCTTCCTGTCTGTTCCAATTATTTGAGACCTACTCGGATAGTGGCTCGAGCAGGCAATTGATCCAACAAACAAGAAAAAACAACTCAATAAATAACAAACAAATGCAGGGATTATTTTTCTGAATGTTCGCGACGATGGTCTGGTTTCAGTGGATGTTTCGAAAATTGTTATTTTCTGTTCACTGTTATTAACTTTGTCACAATTTTTTGTTTCGTTATCTCCATCCACCATAAACGACAGCGTTGCGAGACCTAGCGAGTTTTGAGCTGATGTAGATTTCAGTGGCTTGAAAGCAAACGCAGCGGCAGGGACCATCTGCAAAGTGAAGCCGGCAAACAGCACGAGAATGCTTGGCCACGTGTAAATTTCATACAGATATCTGCGGTTGCAGTTTTTCAGTTGAAACATTTTCTGAATGCTGCCAAAATTGGCATTCATTCATTCAATTTAAGACCTTGTAATTGGGCCAATGAGAACCGCTCCGAGAGAAAATCCGATGCTAGTAACTGCGCCGGCCAGAGGTCGTTCCTTTTCAAAGGTCGTCATGGCGTTGACGTAGCACGAGGAGACTATGGAGTTGATCCCAAACCCTGCTACCACATTTGTGTTTTTTTTCAGTCGAATGTTTGTGGTTTATTTTACAAACTGATGTGTAAATTTAATATAAATTTTTAGAATTGGATTAGTAATTTAAAAAAAAAATTTTTTTTTGAGTTTTAAAACTAAATAAGGTTTTTTACTTAATTAAAGTTACATTCAATAATATATAATATCCAATTTTATTAAAATAAATGTTGATTTTATTTATGAAATATAGATGAAACCTGTAAAAAGACCTATATCAAAAATTCATTTGCTAGTTGAGTTGATCATGATGAATTTAAATTAAAATATTTTTAGTGATTAAGTTGGTCATAATATTATAATAAACCAGTAAAATAATATTGAAATTAAAAACTTAAAAGATATTTAAAAAAACCCGTTTTTCAGTTTTCAATTTTATTCACAAAGGTTAATTCACAAAGCTTATAACCTGCCAGTAAGCCGTAAGAAAAAAATAAGTGGAGCACAGATGTAGCAAAAAAGGTCAAGAAGAATCCAAATGTGCAGAGGAGAGACCCACACACGCATATTGCACGACATCCAAATTTTTTTATTGCCATGCCAACAAACACTCCTTCAAAAATTCAAACAAATCATTAATACAATATAAAAATACTATGACAAAAATATTTTTATTTAGTTTAACAACAACAACAACCTAATATATCACCGCAGGTAAAGTGAAGGGAGCAAATCCATCCAATCGTTGCAGATGTTGTCTGAAACTCATCAACCAAATCTCGGTATATTAGAGAGAACAAAACCTGGATGCTGCCCGCCAGCGAGGTACCAAACGTGCAAACCGCCAACAACATCCACTTTCGCGATGAATCTAACATTTTAGTTATAATTCGTTCGAACTTTTCGTTCGCTTTAATTAACAAAATTTTCTTTCTAATTATAAATCCATAACTTGAGTATTTAAATTCCGTAATCGTTAACAAACACATTGTCACAGATAAAACTTTCAGCAGATGTGTAGAATTTAACAAAACACGAAAAAATATCGATTATTCACCCATACATCACAAAATCTAGCAACAGCCGTTTTAATTCACAAACATAATTTTATAGAAACAACATTTTTCACAAGCATGAGACACATAACTGTTCAATGGGTATTTCAAAAATTATTTGAAACTACAAATAAAAAATTCCAGCATTTATAATAAACTTTCGATTTTAAATTAATCAACTCGTTTTCAACACCATTATTCGCCACTTTATTTGTTAGCACATATACCCCTCTTTACAGCGAACTTCTAGTGGAAAATCTCTACATAACGAATTTTTTATGTCCCTTGCAATTTTACATATAAAACTGTTTCTATAGAACGAAACTAATTTTGTTCGTTCAAGAGATCTCTTGAACGAACAAAATTTATAAAAGTTGAAATCTGACTAGCGAACATTCTATGAATTGATATGAGTGGTATTTTTGTTCTCCTTTAATACTTTGGAGCCATATTTATTGTTTCGTGTTCTAGTATTCTAGTAATTTTTGCGAATTTTTGCGATTAATTTCAATGGAATCAGAATCATAGTTATCTGGAATGAAAAATAAACTTCACTTTTAAAATTTTATTTTTTACTATTATGCCGTGTATGATTACTTTCTGTTATCAAAATAAATTATTAAGAGGTTGTTCTTCATAGATATGTAGCATATAAACACCTTTTACGTAATATAGAATTTTTTCCCAAGCAAATTCTCTATGACGAAATTGCTATATAACGAATTTTATTCAAAAGCCATCAAATTCGTTAGACGAAGGTCCGACTGTATTAGTTAGAATATATTCACCATTCTATTTGTTTGCGATTGTTCCAATTGGTGGAGCATCACACAATCGTGGGTAACTTCACAAGCGCTTATAATATAAAACTCAAAACGCATCCGAACGTCTTCTTGACACAAGCCACTATCAGGGGCATGACCAAGTAGCCAAGGGTAAGCTTTTGGACTAAACCTCCACAATAAAAATTTTTGTCAGGGTTAAATTCAAAAAAATTTTCAGCGCCAAATTTTATGAATTCTCGTTTCAAACTTATGCAGTCCCATAACAATAAGAGCATTTTTTTGCCAAATTTGAGTACATTCTGACCGCGAGACTGGTTGTTATATTATATAATAAAAAGATTTACATCTGGTTGAAAACGATTGGGTGAGAAGTTTACATTGCTTCTAAAATATAACGTACCTAATAAAAATTGTTTAGCCACGAATCAATGTTAACAATTTCTTTTTCGATCGCCAGGGTATCGTGAATTGTTTTTCTGTCATGTTTCTTTCTCATTTGTTCTATGTAATATCAATATAATATAATATAAAAATATGTTTCTGAAATTTTTCTTTTAAATTTATTTATAAATAGAATTCCGAAAGTTAACCTTGAAATATGATAACAGAATCATCGCAACGCCAAAAATATTCATTCCTCCGCTAGCATGTATTTTATCATTTTGTAGAGTAGACCCAGGATGAGCGGAATCAAAACAAGATGTCTCGGAATGGCGTAAGTAAGAACGCATCAGTGTTCCAACACACTTAATGATTATGCGCGTGATTGTAAATTGCATGTCTATTCAGATTGCTACTTTGGAAAAATATTTACGTGCCGGAGTTCAATTAAAAGATAATATAAAGGGTTGTTTATTTTCAAACATCGCATGCTATCAAGCAAACAATCAAATTATTTCTATTATACAAAACTCGTAATCGATTTTCGATAACTTACCATTTTGGCCGATTAAGCTGACAATTTTAATTCTAGCTCTTCTCCGATTAGATGGACAGACACACACACACCACACACATACACAATACACACACACCACACACACACACTTATACACAACACAAACACACAATGATTTTGAAAGCATCTGCAGTGTACAACACAAGCAGAAGGGGGCCAAGATATATATATATGTATGTATGTATGTATATAATATATATATATATATATATATATACATACATGCATGCATACATATTTTTATATATATTATTATATATACTATTATATAGGGTTTGTTGATTTATCGGTTTTCTCGTGGAAATTTACAAATTCAGCTTTTTCTCGGAATTTTTAAATCTTTAAATTTAAAACAAGTTATTATAATTTTATTTGGCGTCATATGTTAAAATTTGAAAGTTGTTCGTTGTTTTGAACAAGTTTTCGCTTCAGGACCATAATGGCTGAGAAAAATAAATGCCAAACTTGTAATAAAGTTACCGGAGCAAAGGACATACTACATTGCAGATTTTGTTGCTCAGCAGCTGTCCATTGGAGATGTATTGGCATGTCTGATTCAACTATGAAGGAGCTCCAGCAACCTAATAATTTTGTATGGATGTGCAACAGTTGCATTGGGCAAATTGAACTATTCAGATTAAACAGTCAACTGAATGAGATGTCTGTTGAAATAAGGAAGTTACAGGAGAGCAATGCCAAAATCAGTGATCAAGTTAACTATATACAGGACAAACTTGACAGTGGTGAAATTGATAATAACTTTGGTGACAAAATAACGACACTCCAGGAGAATCTGAAGAAATCTTATGCAGATACCCTGAAGGATGTGGTAGTCGCAGACGTTGTGAAGGTTAATAACAGGGTAACTAACATGAACGATGGTATCCAAGCATTAAAGGTGGAGGTCATAAAGACGAAGGAAACAATTCAGTCCATCAGTGAAATTGAGGAAAGATCATGCAATTTGATAATCTTTAGATTGAAAGAAAATGTTGATCTGAGTGTTAGTGATGGCAGAAGGGAGGATGATGAAAACATTTCACGTATCCTTGGAACAATATTAAAGGACAAAGTTGATAAATTTGATGTTGTTAAACAGTTTAGACTGGGCAAAAAAACCGAGAAAACCAGACCGCTGCTTGTCAGGCTGAAGTCTAAGTCTTTGAAAAATTTGATTATGGAAAACTTGTCAAATCTGAAGAATCTTGATGAAGATTTGAGGGGGATCAGCGTCGGGCATGACTTGACAAAGGAGCAGAGAAATGATTGTAAAAAACTGATTGAGACTGCAAGAGAAAAGGATAAAGATAGAGCAGATAAACAGGATTTTGTATACCGAGTGACTGGGGAACTGGGGAACTGGAGAATAAGACGACTACCAAAGAAATCGACTTTTGCGATGTCAAAAGTGGAAAAAATTATAAATTAGATGCTGATGGCTTTGGTGGTGTTAATGGTGATGCTGACGAAACTTTATCTGTTGATAATGATCTTAAACTTACTGTTCATTTGGGTTTGTTAAACATTAGATCTATATTATCCAAGTTTAATGTAATTTTTGGTTTAATCTCTGAAGGATTGGATATATTTGTTGTTGCAGAGACCTGGCATGGATCTTCTGACAGCCTATCAGTGGGATTATCGTTGCCTCCGGGTTATCGTTTTATAGATGCGGTTAGGGCTGGTGATCCTTTCCATGGAGGTTTGATAATATTTCTTGGACCGTCTTGCAAGTATAGACGGATTGTTGTGCCTACAGTCACTACGTTTGAGGTTTTAGCAGTTAAACTTATTATTGATCGACAGGATTTTATATTATTGGCTGTGTATCGACCGGGTTCGGTTCAACCTTTGGTGCTGTTTTTTAAAGAGTTAACGGTTGTTCTTGATAGTATAACGGTTTTGAATTCTAGGATAGTACTGGCAGGAGATTTCAACATTCATGTTGAAAGAGGTAGTGACACTCACGCGGCGACTCTGGGGGATATATTTGAAAATTATTGTTTAGTCAATCACACAAAGGAACCAACTCATATTCTTGGTGGCACACTTGATCTAGTGGTCACTTCAGTAGATTTTCCAGTTATAGACTGTTCGGTCCATCCTAGTGGTGTTTATTCTGACCATAGCTTTATTCGAGTAGCTTTGTCAATTACTCGTAACCACTCTTTTAATATTTGCAAAAAAATCAGATCCTGGAATCGAATGGACAATGACGGCTTTACTAGAGTTTTTTTGGAATCCGCGATATCGAGACCTTGCATAAGTGATAACCTTGACACTGAATTTCAATTGTTTCTCAATGAATCTCTACGAATTGCTGGTGTAATTGCACCTGTTCGAACTGTCTTGACTAAACGGGATCGTGTTGCCCCATGGTTTGATGATGAGTGTTATCGTTTGAAGCGATTATGCAGGAAAAAAGAACGAATTTTTAGAAGGAGTCATCAATCTATTCATCGAGAAGAATGGAAAAGAGCTTTAGATGAAAAATCCAGGATATTTGGTGATAAACGCAGTCAGTACTGGACCGTCATTGTCAATGATAACAAAGGTAATCCTAAGAATCTATGGAGGGTAATAGATAAGATCCTTTGTAGAGGTAATAAGGATAGCATATGCTATGATGCTGAGCGGTTAACTGCAGATCAGTTCATGAATTTTTTTGTGGAAAAATTATCTAAAGTCAAGGACGGATTGGCGCCCTCAGAAAGGCTGGATGTCATCGCAACTGGGGTTCAGTTTAAAGAACTATCAACATTTACTGCTGTGACTGAGGATGATGTTATAAGCATGATACAAAGTGCACCAGCTAAGTCATGTCAACAGGATATTTTTCCGACTGATGTTGTAAAGAGATACGTTAACCTGTTCACTCCGTTTTTAACATCTTTGATCAACTTATGCTTAAAATCTGGTCGTTTTCCTCAGGCGTGTAAACACGCCATTGTGCTTCCTATTCTGAAGAGGAGTGGTATGGATGCTAGTGATATCAATAACTATAGACCGATTTCTAACCTCAATTTTATTTCGAAGATTATTGAACGTATGGTTGCCAGACAAATACTTGATCATCTAAGGTGTAACAATCTGCTACCCTACAATCAGTCGGGATTTAGACAGTACCACTCGACTGAAACAGCATTATTGCAGGTCCATTCTGAACTTTGTATGGCAATGGATCAACAAAAGATATCACTCCTTACGTTTTTGGATATGAGTTCCGCTTTTGACTGCGTTGATCACAGAATTCTTTTTGATAGGTTGCATTGTAACTTTGGTATTTCTGGTGTGGTTTTGGAGTGGATGGAGTCATATCTAGTTGGTAGAACTCAGCAGATTTCGTTTGGTGGAAAATTATCTGATATTACCACAGTTATTTTTGGTGTTCCTCAGGGGTCAGTTCTTGGACCATTGCTATTTCTCTTATATACGTCTGAGGTCTTTAAGGTTATTGAATCATTTGGCTTCTCGAGTCATGCCTTTGCAGATGATATTCAGATAATAGTCAGTGGTTCACCTAGCTCATTTCAGGCTGAGCTGGATAGCCTGGTGGACTGTCTGTTGGCGGTTAATTTATGGATGTCGAAAAATGGCTTAAGGTTGAATCAAAATAAAACTAAATTGTTGCATGTTGGAACATGGCAACAGCTGTCCAGATTAGATGCTGATTCAATTTTTGTCAATGACGTGGTAATTCCATTCTGTGATAGGGCAAAGAATTTGGGTGTCATATTTGATCCAAACTTGTTGATGAAACAGCACTTCAAAATGCTCTCTAGAGATTGTATGCTACAGATTAGAAGGATTAACCAAATTCGCAATTCACTGGACGTTTCCACACTGCAGACTTTGCAGAATTTGTCCATTCGCGAATTGATTATTGTAATAGTTTGTTTTATGGATTACCCCTGAGGTCTACTGCGATATTGCAGTCTCTACAGAATCGTATGGCAAAAGTAGTGGTTGGTGGTTTACGGTATGATCACGTGACGCCCATAATCAAAAGTTTGCATTGGTTGACAGTCGATAAAAGAATAATCTACAAGATATCAGTCTTGTTGCATAAATCAATGAATGGCCTGACACCAGCATACTTACAGGATAAATTTAAAAGGTACTCAGTAGATTCTTATGGGTCTGGTCTAAGATCGTTTTCTGCGAATCTGTTAAAAGTTCCGACTGCCAATCTATGTATTGGTTCACGTAGTATTGCGGTTTCTGGACCAACTGTCTGGAACAGCCTTCCCGTCCATCTCAGAGATCCAGGATTGTCCATTACTCGCTTTAAAAAAGATCTTAAAACATTTTTGTTTTCTTATGAGAGATGATGTATGTATGTGTGTGTGTGTGTGTGTGTGCGTGGGTGGGTTTGTGTGTGTGTGTGTGTGTGTATATTTAATTTCTTTTGATTTAAAAACGGTTTTATTGTCTTGCCAATTGATGCTGTTTTTTTTTTTTAGATAGTCATCTTATATATCGGTTGTTTCTATTTATTGTTTTTCATTTCTGACTTTACGTATTATTATGTATTATCATCTACCGTCGGATTATTGATTTATCCATATTTCATATTGTGTCTAACGTTGAGTTCGCTTTGAAGTTTATTTAATTGGCGTTACATAAACTCTTGTTATGATATATATGTGTGTGTGTGTGTGTGTGTGTGTTAAGAGTCTTTTCCATAATAGCTGATTTATATATGTGTCTTTTTTCTTCACTGGATTTCAAAATGGTTTGATTGTCATGACAGTCGATTCTTTATTTTTGATATTTGTTTATCACCTTATATCAATTGTCTCTGTTTTTTGTGTTTCGTCTTGGGTATTTGATTTTGCTTATTATTATGTATTATCCTCTAACTATTGATTTTTGATATGTTTAATGTGTGAGAGCGCTTTTGAATTTTATCTAATTAGTGCTATATAAATTATTGATATTGATAGACACACACACTGCCAGAAACTCCATTGTTTATGTGTGTTGTGTTCAAATTTTACTCAGACTTGTAATTGCATTCAAAAATTTTTATTTTACGTATTGAAGTGTTATTTTCATTATTCAACTAATGAAAACTTGCTGATATTATTTATTTTTGAATATTTTTTCAAGAAAAACTAAGGGCCACATTTTTTTTAGATCAATAATCCAATTACCTAGGTAACATATTAGAGCAGCACGTTCAAACGTGTGTGGCCAGGAGTGCAACAGGACTGACTTTCACTCTCATTTCATCTTCATAATCACACTTAGATTTGTTTACTTAGTTTTTCATTTAATTTATTTAAATTGTATTCCTTTTCGACTATTATTTTAATGAAAAATGTACATTGTCAAAGTAATGTAAAGAGCCTCTAATAGTGAATACATACAGAAATTTTATATTTAGCAAAAGTAGTAGTAGGATAAAACGCTAACATTTGATTTTAAACATGCCTCCAACACGCCACGTTTGATTTTAAACATGCCTCCAACACGCCAAACTGCAATAGTCTTTTTAGAGAGAAATATTTTAAAATTTGTCTACTCCAAAGTTGATTCAATTAAAAACTGTTTGTTTTTTTTTCTCAATTAAAAATTTATTTTCTTAAAAATTAAAAATATTAATAAAAAAATAATAAATGGACTAATTTTAAAATGAGTGAAAAGGGAATAAATTACTGTAAACAAAACAAAAATGGAAATGTTCGTATAAAAAAGATAAAAAGTAGTGAAGTGGACTCAGCGTGGAGTTGGGTGGTGCTGGCAGCCTGCATGTTGGGGACGACCGGCATGGGCAGCTCCTACGTCCTCTTCGGTCTGCTCTACAAGGATCTCATCCAGGAGTTCCAGTCTAGCTCGGCAGCTGTCGGATGGATCGGCTCCTTGTTCGTTGGCTGTGGAAACATCATGGGTTGGTTGTTTCATATTAACCGAGGAAGGTATTACATTTGCGTTGCTTAATTATGTAACTTCTCTAAACTTCTTCTTGCCAATTTATATTGAGAGTGTATTCATCGAATAGCTAATGACACAAATTAAATAGTTAGAATAATTTATTCAAACCGTCTTTGTATTGTTTCTACTTTTTCAACGCTGTTGACCGTAATTTATATTACAATTTTCTATTTCAGAAAAGATAAAAACGCCAAAAATGTGAAAATAAAACAAATTTTGTTCAACGTTCCACATGATGTGTATTACAAATTGTTGTTTCGTTATGTTAAATTAGGGGTGGGCAATCGTTTTGTTTTGAGGGCCGCATTAAATGGCAAATTTTTTCGACACGGGAAAATTTTTTTAAAATTTACGGCTTCTTTGTTTTGGTCATAAGGTCTGGCTGACGACTTTGTTTTGACGAACAAGGCCTCGCGGGCCGAATAAAATAGTCGTAGTTTGCCCACCCCAGTGTTAAATCATTTTTTGTTCAGTGGAAATATTTTGCATTCATTCAACTTATAACATGATTTGATGCATTGTGCTTATCGTGCCTGTCACTTCAAAACTAAAAAGTCTTGGTAAATAGTACTTCTGTTTACGCCATATTTTTTTATCATATGTTGTTACTGTTAAAGAAGAAGTTTAATATAACACGCTAATGAGATATTTTTTGATGTTGATTCTTATTTTAAATTCAAAACCCTGCAACCAAGGGATCGTGTTTGGTTTGGTGGTGGAGAGGAAAGGAAGCAGGCTGGTGTGCATGTTGGGCTCCTTGATCTGCTCGGCTGGATTCTTCCTCTCATTTTTTGCCAGCAGTTTGTTCCACTTGTATCTCACGTACGGCCTCATGGCTGGTAATTTTTATGAAGTTCAATTATATGAAGATAGAATTTGAAACTTAAATTTAAATCTCAAGGTGTTTGAATTATTATTAGTGGAGTTGTTAGGTTTGTGTTGTTTCATAAAGGCTAAGGCAAAATACATTTTTTTACTTACACTTTTTGTAACTTTACATTTAAAAATAATGAAATATTTTACTGAATGGAGGCATAGGAATGTCCATGATAGTGACACCGTGCGTCGTCAACGTGATGATCTACTTTGATGAGAAGAGACCGCTAGCTGGTGCTCTGATGAGTTTTGGCTACTCGATCGGATCCGTCCTGGTTGGTCCTGTCATGAGGTTTGCACCATTCAAATTGTCCCGTTTCACATCTATGCAGTTTTAAATTAACGCATTGTACCTAACGAAATATAATTTCTACGTGTGTTTTCGACTAACTTAAAAAAATCTTTCAGATATATCTTCGAGCTTGTATCTTGGAGAGGATCACTTGTGTTGTTTTCTTGTCTGACCCTTCAAATGACTCCTGCTTCATACTTTGCTTTTAGGCCTCATTTCAAATTCAACAAATTAAACGAAAATGCCAAAAGCAATCTTAAAAACCCAATTGTATCAACAAACTCTGATAATGATAACGAGTCAGAAATCAACAAAACTAAAAATTGTACAACCATCGTTAACTTTGATGAATTGAATGATATAAAACAATTAACTGAGAAACATTTAAAAACAGCCTCGCTTGTAAATCTCGCCTCAATGACGAATGACACAAATTTGACCCTCGATGCAAGACGAAGTACAAGTGTTGCTGACGATAAATTTTCAGATGAAAATTGTGTCGGTAAAGAAAGTTTTGCAGAACAATCAGTGGTGCCTCCTGGTGCGACACAGCCCCTTCAGTACAACTTCCATGAACTTTGTGATGCAAGCAGTACCGACGACCGCGAAAATATCCAGACTGAAACTTTCGGGCAGTTACTTTGCGACGCACCGTTGGTTTGTTATCTGTTAAGTGTCCTCTTTATGTACACGGGGATTCAAGTTTATATGAATCATACTCCAAGCAGGGGTTGTGTTCTCGGCGTTGACCGAACACTTGTCAATTATCTGCCCGTTACGTACAATGGCGTTTCAGGTTTCATGAAAATTGTCAGTTAGATAAATTTAATCTTTGTAGGTAACCACGTTAAAACCTCTTTCTATATATTTCAGGTTAGTGGGTTTATATCGAACAGACCAAACATCAACAGACTTCTATTGTATTCGACTGCCGTGTTAGGAGTTGGTGTGGCTCTGATGTTCACACCGTTCTTTATTACATTCCAAACGATGCTGCTGCAAGGTGTCTTGTGTGGAGTCTTTGCAGGTCTCAATTCAATTAACGTTTTTATTTAATTTCGAAAAAAATTGTGGTTAAAATTGTTATTAGTTTATAAAACTCAAAATAAATTTAAATTAAATACAGCATTAGAGCAACACTTTGTTTAATTATTTTGGTATTTAAAATAGTTCACAGTCTCATATGAATGGATTTCAATTCAGGCTTTTTGTTCAGCTTGTTTGTGACGCTGGTCGTTGATCTGAAGGGGCGTTCAAACGTCACGAAGACAACTCCAATGGTCAACTTTTCTTTTGGGTCGGCAGGCTTGATTGGCACCTCATTGGCAGGTCATTTTGGCGCTTGCTTTCAATTCATTCATGCATCGATGATGGAATCAATAATTATGAATAACGGGAATTATAATTATGGTATGGTAGGAAGCTAACGTGCAAACACAATCTTCCCACAAGCACAGGTTACCTGTTCGACGCGACAGGCGACTACAACAGCACCTTCCTCATAACCAGCAGTTTGGTGCTCCTAGCAAGTTTCTTGTCCTTTCTGTCCCTCTTCATCCACGCTAAAAAATCAAAAGTTAATAAGAATCCACCAAATACATCGTTATGTTTTCAGTTTAAAAATTGAAACGTTTACTATTTTTTTTAAACGTTCACATCATTTTGATTAAAAAACAAAAATTTGTTTCAATCAAAAATTTTTTACATATAACTAAACACCAAAAAATTAATTAGGTTAAAAACAAATTGCAACTAAGACTAGCCAAGTATTGATTACAGTTTAAAATATTTTAAAATCTCTTTTTCAGGTTTTAGAGGCTATCCAAGAACTGTAAAGTATATCCATTTCCTGATAAAATTTATAAAATAGATATAGATACGTTATCGCGATATGTGAGCTCTCGATAAGAAGATATTTTAAAAAACGTTTAAGCAAGATATTATAAACGAAATCAAAGGTAAACTGATGAGAAAAACAATGACCTTGATGAAAAATCGCCTCCTTTATTTTCACATCACAAAGCCATGTGGTTTTTAGTAATCTTAAACTTTTGCCCAACTTTAATTTTTCTGCAATTTGGGTTATGGTAATGCTTTGTTTTAACAAAAAATACACGTAAAATCTCTTGAATAAACAATAAAAGTGTGAATTTTTAACGTTATTTTTAAATGTTACAAAATTGATACATAGAAAATGTTTACAATACAAAACTTCTTTCAATGATGACGCGGCTTTTGCGTTTGACAGTTATCTAATCCTGAAAAGTTTGAATGATCACAACTCAGTTTCAGGAAGCATCTGCTCCTCAATATGAAGTTCCATTTTCATAAAAACCTTGCTTCAGTTTTTTATTATTTTTTATTATTTTTAAAATTTTTCTTTGCTGGCCAGTTTTCTTTTGTGTCATTTTAAAAAATTACAGTTTTAATTTATAAAAACCTTAGGAAACTTACAAAATTTCATATCCCGTCAGAAAAAAGCCAGACGACTTTCTGGTTATTCAGTAAATTTTTTGAACCTCGCCATTCCTCATTTTTGGAATGAATTGCTTTCAGTGTCAAACAATGTTCCTCACTGTATCAATTAAAGAAATGTTCAGAGCACATATTTTCAAAATGCGCACCTTGGCTTCGACCGCCTCAGAAGGAGCTGCGTGTGTGACGCTCCATGAATGTTCTTACTGTTATTATTATAGGCGCCGCTAGGTTCACACACCATAGAGTTCTATTCTCTTCACTGACGTTAAGTTTAATGTGTCCACGGAGCTTTAATTTTAATAATTTGGCGTAATTGGTGGATGTATGGATTGATTGATTGATTAATTGGTTGGTTGGTTGATTGATTAAATGATTGACTGGTTGGTTGCTGACTTACTGACTGACTGACTGACTGAGTGTCTGACTGTCTGACTGGCTGACTGAGTGTCTGACTGACTGACTGAGTGTCTGACTGACTGACTGGCTGGCTGGCTGGCTGACTGACTGACTGACTGACTGACTGACTGACTGACTGACTGACTGACTGACTGACTGACTGACTGACTGACTGACTGACTGACTGACTGACTGACTGACTGACTGACTGACTGACTGACTGACTGACTGTTTGATTAAAAATTTATTAGACTTCAAAAAAATAAAGTGAATGAAGTACAGGATGACTGAGGGACAGCAATACCTGTAGATCATTCGCGAGCACAGCCACCTTGACGAATTCTTTCAATTACTATACAATACAATACAGTTTACAAGCCACAATACTCACTTAATTTAAAAAGTCAATTGACTGAGCACATTTTTTTATAGGCACTCTTCATTTCTTCATTCGAATTCACGTTCAGTTTCACACATTCACACAGGTTGCACTCACTCGTCCGCGTTAACATACAATTCAGTTTTTTACAATGATGTTAATGATTGTGATTTCTGTTGGACTTTGAAATCAGACAGAGATGTTTGTTGATACTAAAAATCTGCTTGTAAAATATGGTTCCAGTATCTCGGTCCCTTGCAGATGACCTGACGATACTGGAGATCGCTTTTGGAGTCATTTGCTGGAATGTAATTTGTTCTTCGTTCGTTTTTGTTTTCTGTATAATAACCATGAAATGTTGCAGGTAACTTATTATTTAATTGCTTGAATACAAATATTGAGACCAGAAATTGATTCAGTTTTTAAAGTTTAAATTGCCAGTTGATCTACACAACGGTTCTGCGTGCGCTTTATAGTTAGATCTCGATGCCATCCTGATAATCCTCTTCATCATCAATTTAATTGGAATAGTGATGGAAGAATATGTGTTAGCCTAGACGATGTTACAATATGATACAATCTGGACAAAAAGTGCATTGTATAACATGTTTAGAGGCCAAGTTGATACATAAAATCGTGCTCTATTTATCCCCACAATTGATTTTGACAATCTTGTGCATATATAGTCTGCGTGTGTTTTGAAGGAGAGCTTCTGACCTAAGTGCACACAGAAGAACTTCACTGATTTCATTTTTTTAATTTCAACATTTTCGATTTCAATTCTGTAAATTTCCTCAAGTTAAGGTTGTAAGATTATTATTTATGTTTTCTCATTAATCATTATAAGGCGATTGTTAACAAACCACTCAGCAATATCCCTGATTCCTGCGTTCGTTTTTGATAATAATTTATCCTTTCCCTTTACTAAATATGTTCGTGCCATCAGCGAAGCATGTGAAATCAAAAAAGTTTGATGAATGTGGAATATCATCAAAGAAAATTGAAAAAAGCAATAGTCCGAGTATACTTCTTTGGAAAACGCCAAAACTGTTTTTCAACACTGATGAATTAATATTATATGCCCCTGGACACATTGCAGTCTTTTTAACCGTTTCAATAAATTTCTTCTTACTCTCATTTTGTATTAAGGCCTCCAGTTTTATATAGCAACGAAATAACTTTTGCGATGCGGCTGCTTACAGTTATTAATGTAAACGATGCTTGGCAGCGTTGTTCTTTGCGATTGCAGGTATCAATTGGCCTTTACCTATTGAGTTGTCGTTCTGGGAAGTTTTATTCCTAGAAATGGACCTTCCATTGTGACGATGTTTGTTGATCTTGATGGCGGTGAGGATGTTTGTTGCTGTAATGGAGATGATGACATGTTGGACACTTTTTCAGGGTTGTTGGAAAGTTCTGCCGAGCTATTCAAATTCTTAAATATTTTGCACGAGCGTTGGTGTCACCGCAGGCTTTTCCTACCCCACACTCTTTACCGCAACAACAAGAAATTAGAGTATTATCGATATTAACAATGATATTTTTATTTAAATTTTCAACAAGTAAGTTCGGAGATATAGTAATATTGCCGTTTTGCGATAAAAGTCCACCATTGTTGTTGTTGTTTAAAATTGCTTTCGCACAGCGCCAGGATTGGCTACTGATTTTAACACAATTTTTAAAACAACACGGACATTTAGTCACATTTACTATTGAAATAAAGTTTAAAATCGGATAAAAATAAAATTGAATAAATATTTAAAATTACCATAAAACAGTATTACTATAACCGCCATAATTTTCTACAACTTTAATACCAACTCATATTCCATCAAATCCATTAAAAAATCGATTGTTCTATATAAAACGGTCAGTGAGTAGAAGAAATCTAGTAGAATAATAATAATAATAATAATAATATAGTATAACATAACATTAGCATGACAATAATAATATAATGATGATGATGATAATAATAATAATAAGATTAATAATAATAATTTAACAATAATAATAATAATAATAGAAAAAATATTATTATTTGCTTTTTAACTCATTGTACTTGTTCTGATCAATGAGCAAAGTTTTTTTTTAATAAGTATCATTATAATTGAACGCACGTGTCAGGATAATATAATATTATTACATTTAAGTTAACGTTACTTTTATTGTATAGTTTTACGGTTAAAATAAAAGTTGTTCCCATTATTTCAAGAAAACAAATTCTACAAAATAGTTAGAAAATAAAAAGCCGTGGCAAGTTGGCATTTTTTGGTTTCATGTGTACTTTAACTGATATTTACCTTTTAAAGCAACAAATAAATAAATGCAACGCCATCTGTTTGCAGTAACTTAACTTTAATATCGGGAGACCCTGTATACATTCAGTTTATTTCACGTAGCGACAAGGACATCTGTTGTTGATGAACGTTAACGTCACCTGTTCTCGCTTTCTAGCTTTGCATGAAAAACTTCCAACTTGTTCTAACGCTGCTCAAATATAGATACCAGTTTGCAGGAGAATTTGACATACACGCTCGAAGCAAAAGAACAGAACGACATCTACATAGAAATGTTGGATCTATCAGGGAGGTGGATGTTGTTGGCGGTCTGCACGTTCGGTACCTCGCTGGCGGGCAGTGCGCAAATTTTGTTCACCCTCATATACCGAGACCTGGTTGGCGAGTTTCAAACGTCGTCGGCTATTATTGGATGGATCTGTGCCATCCACTTCACGTGCGGAGATATTTTAGGTTGATGAATTAAAATAATTTTATCAAAATATTTGTAAATATAAATTGAAAATCTAATCTTTTTTTGCATAGGGGTGTTTGTTGGTATGGCAATAAAAAAGTTTGGATGTCGTGTCGTATGCATATGTGGGACCCTGCTCACCTCTTTGGGATTTTTCTTAACATTCTTCGCGACGAGCGTGGTTCATTTATTTTTTTCTTACGGTTTTCTAGCAGGTTCGTGTTGAAAAAATACTACTTATATTATTTTCATCGAAATGTTTTATTTATATGGCGATTTTTTTAGCATAAAAATAGAATTATTATTAACTTTTTAAATACTTTTCATCACTTGTTCGATATCTTGTAACATCTGTTAGTAAAAGTTAGAAGTACTCGATTTTTCCCTTTTTCAAAACGAAAACTAAAAAGTCGATAATTTTTCAAATTGATGAACTGAAATGTTTGCTCAGACGATTGCACTGTCTTGTGTTGTTGTTTTGTTTGCTGGGTTTGTGTTGTTGTGTTGTTTGTTGTTTCAGTGCAATGACATGGTTCAACTACTTATAATGATGTGATTGGATTGTGCACATATACAAATAAATGTGTTTAAGTCATTTAAACTTGCTGTGCAGTCTATGGTGCGCAAGTTTGATTACACTTGAAAGAACAATTCATAAGCAGATTTGGTTGTCAGCATTCCATAAAAAATCAAACGATTTAGTTTAATTAATATTTTTAAACGTAAAGTAATATAAAAAATATGCTAGGATTCGGTATAGACACTATAGTGTCTTCATGTTACGTCAATGCCATGGTAAATTTCGAAGATCGAAGAACCTTGGCAGGTGCAGTGACGAGTGTTGGATACTCTTTGGGGGCGGTCTTCATCGGGCCAGTTACAAGGTTGAGGCAATAATTATTATAAATTGTCATAAAATTTATAAAAAATTGAACTGAAAAGTTAAACAAAGGTACTTGTTTGAACTGCACACGTGGCGTGGAGTTCTTCTGCTGTTCGCCGGCTTCACATTGCACATGCTTCCTGCTGTTGCGTTTGCCTTCAAACCAAAGAGTTCCATCACATCCAGGAAATCAACTGTTGTCCCAACTTTATCATCGGTTGTAAAGAAAAATGACACCAAAGCAGACCAGGATGGCGTGGTAGTAAGTATGCAGAGGAGTTTTTCAGGGCCATCTGCAGAAATACAACTTCCTGCTCTAACATTTCGACAAATATTTCGGGATCCTGCATTTGTTTGTTATTTACTGAGTTGTTTCTTTTTGTTCGTCGGAACAATAGTTTGCATAAACCACTACCCAAGTCGCGCACAGATGATTGGAATAGACAGGAAGCTCATCAGCTACTTGCCAGTGGCCACAGATGGCATGGCTATCTTCTCTAAAGTGGTTAGATATTTATGTTTTTAGCCGCTTTAAGTTTGTTGAAGACTGTTATTTTATTTTTGTTAAAAGAAAAATTCATTCAACTTTTTAAAATTAACAAATACTTTGCGATTAAATTGTTTAGCTGTTTCTCATGTTTCATGCAGATAATGGCAATTTCAACTTTCTATTTCAAGTACAACACGAAATTTGTGTTCACGTTGGCTCTTCTGGCGTCCGGTCTTTTATACGTGGCAATTTATTTCTGCAGAACATTTCCTTCATTGATGTTGCACAGTGGTGCGGTTGGCCTTATTGCAGGTATGTTCATTAAGCAACGTTTGTCCACTAAACCTGAAGATTTTTTTTCATTTTTGAACTACTTTCATTTTGTTGCTGGTGCTGGAACATGCTTACTCAAGCACCAACCACGTAAATTTTGCAGTAATTGCTAAAATTCTTCTACCTCTCGTTCACTGATATTTCTAAAACTTTCAACAAATCACCGCATTTTAATAATTATACAATACTTTAAAAAGTTGAGCTATACTAGCAGATGTTAATATTTTTTAGAACAAATGAAACAATATTTCTTTGAAAAACAATAAACAAAAATTTGTTTAAAAGAATTAATTCTTAATATAACCAAAAAAGAAAGCACTGTTGAATGTGGTAAATGGAAATATCAAATCTTAACAGTTCTTAAACAAAAGTAATAAAAAGCTTTAAATTAATAAGAAAATTATTAAAATAACCAATATTTCAACTTTTAATCTTTTATTGAAAAAAAAATCAAAAATATGTACGTGGTAATTTGTATTTGACTGCCAAAAATTGTTTCCTTTTTTATATTTCTATCGGTTTCCTGTGGAGAAACAAGGCTGAGACGAAACTTCCAGAATGTACCCCATTGGTATTCATAAATGTGACCTATATTTCTTTGAAACAGTTTCAATCAATCAATCAATTAGCTTATAAAGCGCTATTTCCGCGACGTTCAACAGCGCTCCTCAATGAATTTTGAAAACAGATGGGTCTTGAGATCCGCTCTGAACTTCGCAAGTGATGGAAAAGTAGTCAGAGAAGTAGGTAGAGAGTTCCAGAGAAAAGGACCAGAAAAAGCAAAAGCAGATTTGGCAAAAGAGTGTTTAACACGAGTTAAGAAAAAGCGAGAAGAAAAAGACGAGCGTAAACTGGGGCGTTTAGGTTTGATTAATATATCTGATAAATATTTAGGAAATAATTTAGATTGAGACTTATACATGAAAGTGCAAATTTTAAAAATTATTTTATATTTTATAGGTAGCCAGTGCAAGAGAACAAGATATGGAGATATATGAGAAAAGAAAGGGGCACGAGCAACTAGAGCAGCAGAGTTAAAAGCTTTACTTAAAGGATAGAGTATAGAGTCAGGAAGACCATAGTAGAGCGAGTTACAATAATCAATCCTAGATAAGACTAACGAAGTAACAAGAAGGAGAAGAGTAGGATCATCAAGAAAAGGCAAAAGTTTTTTATTCTACGTAGATGAAAGTAAGAGCTTCTAGCAACACTATTAATCTGAAAAGAGAGAGACATAGTAGAATCAAAGATAAAACCTAGACTACGAAACTTATGAGAGACATCAAGAGTTTTAGAATCAGGAGGAATAGTAATAGAGTGTTTAGATTTATTAAAACCAATTAATTCAAACTTAGAAGGATTAAGTTTAAGACACATAGAGTCAGACCAAGCAATAATTGAAGAAAGACATAGAAATAAATTTTGAAGAACACTATTGAGATTAGATGTAAGAAAAGAAGTATAAATGTAAGAATCATCAGCATATAGTTGACTAGAGAAAGAAAAGTTATTAATAATACGAGGTAGTTCAGAAGTATAGACCATAAATAGAAGAGGGCCAAGGATAGAATCCTGAGGTACCCCGAAAGTAAGAGTAGAGGAGTTAGAAGTAGAATTAACTTAATTAATTAATTAGTTTAATAAATAGAACAGCGTCATCCTTACATAGCAGCGAGAGTAGCCTACAGCTCCTTAATAGTCCGAGCCATTTCTCAAAAAGAGAAAATTTTCTTGAGTCGCAATTAAATACGTATTTAAAAGGTATGCAAAGAAGAAAATTAAACTTTTTTTTACAGAAATTATCTTCATTGAAAATATATAAATAAAAAGTAAATAACATGCGTATTGAATTTAAATATCAAAAGTTAAACGCATTTACATTACTTCTTTTGATAAATCTTGAAATTATAAATATAAGAACACAAAAAATAAAAAGTGAACTCGGGTACATTTATGGAGAGCCACACAAATGATCCCTGATAAATACTGATGTGGCCAAGAGTTGCTGATTATTTCAACATTTACTGATATATTGTATATCATTTTGTCACAATTATTCAATCTGCAATAAAATTCTTGTAAATATAACCGTCCAAAACACTCTAAATACCTTCAGGAAATTACAAAATGTATGAAATATCGTAACTACACACATCCATCTACAATTTGCACATAATCTTCATACAATTTACATATAATGCTTAAGCCTTAAATATAATATTGTGTTGTATTGCAAACATTAGCAAATGTAACAAACGAAACAAGAAAACGAAGAATTTGCAGTTGTGTCCACAACTTTTGGCCACCAGTGTATATGGCATGTACGGCACCTGCCTCGTGCGTGTGCTGTGCATCAGAGATATGTGTTTCTATTTTTATGTTATATTTTTAGTTTATCCAATGAGAACAAATTTAGGTCACATTTGTTTATAGTTCATTTAAAAATTGTTTCAAAGATATTTAGGTCAAATTTATGAATATTAATGTAGAGGCTGATGTTAAGCAACAACTGGCGCCACCAACTTACATGGTAAAGTTTGCATGTTCAAGTCAGCTGAAAGAATCTAACGGAAGCAGTTATCTTTTGAAACTAAAATTTTAACTGCAACAGCGGAGAGATTGCAACATGATATCAAAATTACTTGATTTTTATTGAGTGTCATGATCAGAAAATCCTGTCATTTCAATTGATTAAACCGTAGGTGAGCATGGCAACTGGGATGGCGGAAATCCCGAAGGGCTTAGTAAAACCTTATTTATGGCAATGGGAATATTATGGAATGAGGAATCGCTGTTCGGGAATTGTGATTGATGGACGGGAAAAGAAAAAACGACATACACACGCAAAATTAAATAAAAATTGAATTTTAACGAGCTGAGTGTCAAGTCACACCTACATATGCCGCTCAACACGTGTGCCTTATCGAAGATAACCGCTTGCAAACAATAAAGATATAAAATATTTTATTACATTCAAAAACAGGTATATAATTGATTTAATGGTTTCAATTGTAATTTATTACTGTTGTTTTATTACTTTTTAAAACATTTGGGTATATTTGTATCCAGCACTAAAAATTTATTTGTAACTTTTGCATGTAAAGAATGATTTTTTCATGTTCGAAATTTTAAAAAATGGAAAAAATGAGTAATGGTAGAGAGAAATGGGAATGAGTCGATAATGTAGAACTTTAGGGAACGTTGTCATAAATGGGAGTTTGGGAAAGAATCGGGAATGAAAAAAAATTGGAGGGAATTTGAAACCAATTTCAATTCTCGCTCACCTCCAATTATAACTATCCATACCCTCGAACCTAATTAACTTCCTTTAAAACACATTTTAATTTTTTATTAATATTGAACTGTAATAAAATTCACTATCTATATTAAGGATGCATATTCAGCTTGGTTGTACCCATCAGTACAGAACTGAAAGGAACAGAAAATGTTACAAAAACTCAGCCCTTAGTTTACTTGTGCTTCGCGATAAGTTCCTTCTGTGGCACGCCTTTTGCTGGTTAAAAGTTTTTTCTTTAAGTTTTTTTTATAGTTTATAAGAAATTTTAATTTGACAGGTTTTCTCTTTGACCAAACCAACAACTACGATTTAATTTTTGTTATTTTTGGATCGGTCATAATAATTGGTTGCTTGTTCAGCCTTGCTACATTTTTGTTGCACAGGAGACAAAGTCAACGCATTAAATAACTTTATATCTCAAACCCATCGTTACATTTCATTTTGTTATTCTGTGAAGAACTACATTAAAAAACGTTTTGAAAGAAATAATAAAATTGAAACAGACGAATTTGGATTGGAGCAGCATGCTTACATTTTAATTTGTATTATCGGAGTTTTGATTAGGAGGTAGCACTGATATCCAGTTTTTGGTCATATAAAAAATTGATATAAAATTCCGAAAAAAAGATTGTGCTGTTTCTAAGTTTGTGTTTGTTACGTTGCAAGAAAAAGGTGAAATTGAGGCGATGAAGTTAAGCAACCTGCACTGCAATGACATTATAAGTTTACTTCGATGTGCAATATTTCTATCTTCAAAAAGGGATTATGGAGGAAGATTCAGTGGTTGCGCAAAAAGGTCGCACGCTCACTTGAAACAAACTGATCAGACTTTAATATGCAAGTATTCATAAGTTATTCAAAATTTTCTTCTTAAAAGTTTTTTTACAATTTTTTGGCTATAAAACATTTTGGAACATAAGCAATGTTTAAAACGCCCAACTGTTTCTTTTTTAGAATTTGTGAATACTTTTCAAATGATAAAACTTTTAAAAAGTCTATTCAAGATATTAATATACTGACAGCGGTTGCAGTCCCAAAAATTTTAAGGTGATTTTGTTGATAGCTCTCCGTCACAGCAACCTGCTTCACGTTCATCAGATCGATACAGTATATTCGGCCACATGTCGCACATTTAGAAGCATACTGGATATTGTTACTTTTGATAATGTTGCTATTTTTTAAATCATTTAACCTGTAAATTTGGTATTAAATAATGAAATTAAATAAAAATTGAAACTAAATATGAAGTAACAAACAATCAATTTAAAAAAAATTTAAAAATGGATCAATTATAGGACAAATTTGTTAAAAAGTAGGCTTAAAAATTTGTTTGAAAGAAATGAATTTTTTTGATGTTTTGAAGTTTTGAAGAATTTTATGATAAACGGTTGAAAGTTAGAACTCTACGTGGAAGACTGAAATATTATTAACGTGAGTCATAAGTTGAGATAGGAAATAATCTGTCAAAAGGAATTTATTAAATAATGACTATGATAACATCAATAGTAGTTCATGGCAAGATGCAAATATTTTAAAAGTTTAAACTTTCGCGTTGGATGATGTGGGATGCAGATGAGTAAGCATTACAGAAGGTGGTTAAAAACTCAAAACTGTACAAAAAAAAAATAATTTTATTGTAAGGACAGTGGCGGATCTGAGTGTCGTAGGAAGTCGTGGCCTTCTACCCGTAGTGAGCAGCGTTGTTAATGAACATCATCAGTCAAACTCTGTTTTTAGGCAGGAGAATACCGTTTTTAAGTACACCATAATGGACAGAATGTACCAAACACTTTCGTGATCAGCAAAAAAAGGATCACTAATTTAATTTCTTCGCTTTCCTTCAAACTTCGAAAAATTTCAGCACTTTTTTGTTTTTGGTTCTCATCAACTTTATTTAGATTCGCCACTGACTATGGAAATGGACAACTTCCACCAAAATACACTGCGTATTCACACATTACCCACTCCAAATTGAAGAAGTACATAAAATGGATGGATATATAAGCTAAGATGAAAGTAAAAAAAAATAGAAAATGGAAAAAGCAACGAATCTAAAGCTATTCATATAGCTATTTGACCATTCAATGCAGGTAGGAAGAAGCAACAAAGCAACAAGTTAGATGCGGGCGCGAGTTACTTTTCCAGGAGCACTCCTTTAAAGAGGCTGGCAGGGCACTTTGCAGGATTTACGTTTATCACTAACTTTCGTGTGTTTGATCATCTTATGTTTATTTGTAAAACTTGATTTGATTTAAATTTTAGGCACATTAATACGTGTGTCTATTTGTATTTTCTAACTACGGATCGTCAGTTATATAATCTTACGTCAATTAAAATACACGAACAATATCAAAAAGAACCGCACGTTCTGTATAATAATAAATATGTGCAAAAAATAAAAATTAATAACCTTGCACAGACACTACAAAAAAAGGTGTTTGAAGAATAAGCAGTTTAAAAAAGCAGAGTAGAAGAAAAAGAATTGATTGTATGATTGTAGAACAAATGGTTTTCGAGGCGAGTTCGAAGTCAAAAAGTGCGAGTAGTAGGTTCTAAGATGAAAAATGGAAACATCGAATTTATTGAATGATAATCAAATTGGATCGGTTTTCACGTGCCGTGTTTGTGATTTTGTGTTTCTCTAAGAAATATTAAACATCAATGAATTTAAATTGAGCAAAATAAAATTATTTATATTTTATTCTAAAATTAATATTCATTTCATTTGAATTTTCAACCAAAAAAACCTTTCTTAACTTTTGTAAAAATGACATAATCATTCAGCTACAAAACTTTGTTAACTAGAACTAGAGAACATTAAATTTATGCCAAATAGAGCATGCGTCATGTTTATTTATGTTAGCAATCCCATCAATGTTATAATATCAGTAAGAATAATTTTGAAACCGTTTTAGATTCGAATGTAACATTAGACAACTGATGGCATGTAAAGATTGGTGCAATAATGTCGTAACATGTTCAAACGTTTATGTAATTTTCCCCTACCGGATATGAAATGATCAGCATTTCATCAATTAATCAACTACGAACCCACTAGCGAGGTACCAAAAAAGTATAAAAAGTTAAGAACAGTTGAGTGAATGATTGGTTGTGATGAATATTTTTTTATTTTGCAATATTGGCGGTGAGATGGTTTAGTGGTGGGAGCGCCTGACTCTGCTACTGCATTGGCCGAGTTCAACTGCAAGGTGTTCGCCGACAACATGTTTGTTCTTGATACATTCGAAAATGAAATAAGAAATAATCAATGATAAAAATATAATTTACTCTCGGGAAATAATTACAAGCATACCACTAAAAAATATTAAATGAAATCGTCAGAGCTTACTTCGGGCTATAAAATATAAACATCACCACCTCTTGTCACTGTGATTATAAGTTATAAATTGAAATTCAGAGTGAACTTATGATTTTTCAAAAACTGGCATAAATGCCATTCGAGAATTTTAAGCTTTACAAAAAAATGCTGTGCCAGTTTTTTTGATTCACTAAGGTGATTCACGTGCTCCAAATTTAGAATGTTAAAATGTTGGAGCTTTTTGCTATATTTAAAATAGACAAACCGTTACAAACCAAACCTTACTTCAGAATATAATTTAAATTGTGTTAACACAATGGTAATCTTATAATTATATTTCTGAAACATTCGGTCACGAACACAACCGTGCCCCACTACGTTTTTAAATAAGCTGAACAACGATAATTGTTATCTTTTAACCAAAAGTTACTTCCAAACTGAACTACCACTTGATCCAAAATAATTAATAATAATTTTTCATTAATTGACACACACACACACACGCACACTAACACAAACACAAACACAGGCACACAAAGGAACCCACACACACATCACATCATCACGTCACATGCACACAATCAACAAATAAAAATTGTGATGTTGAAATAATAACAAGCAACTTTTGAACGGTGAACATGAAGATTGTTATTATTGATAGTTGTGTTATCAGTTTGCTAATTCGGCATTGTTTAACATTTTATAATTTTTGCCCTAATAGGAAATAAACTAATAAATATTCATGATTTTTGAGCAAACAAACAAGCAAACGCATGTTCACACACGTGCACATACACACTCACACACACACACGTGCACACACAAAAACGCATACTTATTTATTTACTAAGGCCTTCAACAAATTTAATTTTAATGGATCTCTAAATTAACTTGCCTGATCAGCAGTTCACGTGATTCGTTTGTGAACACCTCTATAGGCTGGTGTGCATTTGAAGGCAGACAATGAAATTTTTCATTTTAACGATCTATTATGCATTTGAACAGTTTCAAATTAAGATGTAACAAATAAACAACTGCCATGTTTGAATGCAGCACATGATCTGCTGACGGACCTTTCGCACAAATGTTGTCGTGGTCTTTGTTCAATTGGATCATATTTATACGCTGAAATGATATTTTTTTTTAATTTCATAATTATTAAATTAAATGTTGTTTGAGAAACAACAATTGAATTATTTTTTGTGTTATTCTGGAGTTTCGTGCAAAAAATAACGAGAATGATAGCAAAATTTATTGAAAAGCTGAAATGCAAAAGCAACAAAAAACTCAAGGAGGAGGGGGTAGGGAGGTGGAGGATGGCCGATGAATTCATCGAACTGGACTCAGCGTGGAGTTGGGTGGTGCTGGCAGCCTGCATGCTGGGGACGACCGGCATGGGCAGCTCCTACGTCCTCTTCGGTCTGCTCTACAAGGATCTCATCCAGGAGTTCCAGTCTAGCTCGGCAGCTGTCGGATGGATCGGCTCCTTGTTCGTTGGCTGTGGAAACATCATGGGTTGGTTGTTTCATATTAACGGGGGAGGGCTGGTGGTTCTGTCGTCTTGCAGAATCAATTAATTATTTATCTTCCACATCTGTTCTTATTATTGTTGTCACCTCGATTTACAACCGGTAATATGCAGCGGAAACAACGAAACATTTGACTTTCGATAATAGCGTATAATAATCTTAAGCAACAAATTATAACATTGCAGAAATGTTATTATTCTTATTTAATGAATAATCAAAGTTAAAATTTTTATCTGTAACTAATTAGTCAAATTTTGTGTAGGGCCGATTTTTGGATTGGTGTTGGAGAGATTCGGGTGTCGGGTGGTCTGCATGTTTGGTTCCTTCATCTGCTCAGCTGGCTTCTTCCTCTCCTTCTTCGCCGGCAACGTTTTTTACCTCTACATCAGCTACGGCATCCTGGCAGGTGGGGTTGTTTGCTCTTTTGAAATATTTTCCATATCTTCGTGTCATCTGCACGCTTACAATTATTAAATTTATTGAGAGTTTCTTTCTTTAAAACTTGCTACATTATGGTGCAGGTAGGTTGATGTAACACGTTTCATAAAAGTTTAATTTTTTAAAATTATTCTGTTTGGTGTTTATTTATATCCAATTAACAACCCATGTAACGTGAACAAACTTTTGATGAATTATTTGGATAAATTAACAAAAAATGTATTGATACTAATATGTGATAAACAGGCGGCAATGTAAGCTGAGGGCTTAAATATTTAAAAAAAAATCTTCATTCACCAACATTCAGTGAACTAATGAAAATGTTCACTTCATCAGCTATGAAGTTATTCAACAAAAAACTGAGAATGCGAGAAATTTCAATGCAGACCAATCGGAATCGGCGTAAGGCAGATGTGACTCGCGCGATGCACCAAACAGCAAATTGTCTTTAAAAACGCTTCGAACATGTGCATCTGTGAAGAATAAATCAATCTATAGAAGTTGTTGGCTTGTAATGTTCAACGGCTTGTCACACTTCGCGACTCTCATGGTCATCATCTTCATATGAGCAAAATGATTCACCGTATGCATGTGATGATGTGATGAGATGTGATGAGAAAGAATTGCACTCGAACCCGGTCCTCGCAGTGCTAGATCATGTGCCCTCCCGAGTGAGCCATCACATAACTTGCTGTAACTCTAACAAACCGTAAAAATACGAACATTTTGAATAGTTTAAGTAATAATGAGGTCATCCTTTTTGTTTTGTACAATACAAGATTTACATGCTTATGTATACCTTGCATTACAAACCCAAACACATGACTACGTTGTTGAAACAATCGACGAAGGAATGGGAATGTGCATGATCGTTACGACCTGCTACATCAACTCCATGAGACACTTCGGCAGGAAGAGGCCCCTGGCAGGTGCACTCGTCAGTGTCGGCTTCTCCTTCGGTACCGTCCTTATCGGGCCCGCCATGGCGTGCGTTCACTTTCTCAACAGTTTCAATATTTTTATTATGTTTTAATAATATTCATATCCAAATATTTAATATTTTGCAAAAAAGATAAAATTTTTTTAAGCCAAAACACAGCTGTGCAAATTAACTGAGCCTTTTTTGTGAACGAAGAATATTTCAATAAGATGGCTTCAGGGAATATCATCAAATGATCGTCATGTACTGCAAATATTTAATTAAATTTTTTTAAAGTTAATCAAGTTAAAGTGCAAGATCTTCTTACATAGAAACAATATTGCAATTTCAAATGATCTAATACGGATACTACTACTACTACTACTACTATTAATAATAATAATAATAATAACAACAACAAAAATAATAATTTAATAGAAATAACTTTCCAGGTACATATTGGAGATGCATTCGTGGAGGGGCTCGCTGGTGATATTCTCCTGCCTGATCATGCAGATGTTCCCCGCTGCATACTTCGCTTTCAAACCTCAGTACAGAGTCAGCAACGTGCGGCGGGCCTCACAACTTTCGACCGGCAACCACACTGATCCCGAAAACTTGCCTCATAGGAGTCAAGAAGGAACTGCACAGGAACGTGATGGCAGGAACATCGAAATGGACTTGTATTCCCTTTCAGACCTCGCCACAACAGATGCTACTTACACAGTTAACGACCAAACGAACAAGGCTAGCGACACCACACATGAACCCATGAGAAAAGCGAAATCGTCAATAAATATAAATTTGCCAAACAGTTTAAAAAACGAACAATCGGGCACTATCGATTCCAACGAAATATGGTTTAAAAAATGCCAGAGCCTCAACAACATCCGCGCAAGCAGCCCTCTAACAATTTTCGACGTCGCTAAGAACTGCACTTATTCTTGCAACATAGTAACAAATCTAGACAAAAAACTTTTCGAACATGATGCACTTGAAACCTGCAACCTCGCGGCCATTGACAGCAACCAGTTCAAGAAAGAATCCTTCAGGGAAATACTTTCCGATGCCACTGTAATGTTCTACTTGCTGGGCTTGTTGTTCATGTACGTTGGAGTTCAGGTGTATTTGAATCACTTTCCGAGCAGGGCACTTGCTTTCGGGGTCGATAGAGGGCTGGTCAACTATCTGCCCACCACTTACGGAGCTGTTGCCGGCTTCACAAAAATTGTGAGTTGAAACATTATGAAAATTGTATTTAATATGCAGGTGATAGCATGGTTTGAATGTATTTTTGCCTATTTTTTTTTTTGAAATAAAACAAATTTTAATGTTCAATGTTTTATCCCGTTTTACATTTTTTACAATTTTTAAAATTGAATTTTTTGTTTTGTGATTATAAATAAATAAATAAACATATAAAATAAAAAATTAATATGAATTGTTTAGATGAGCGGATTTCTAGTAAACAGACCAAACGCGAACAGACTTCTCATTTTTTCACTTGCAGTGCTGGGTTTCGGAGCTTCACTTCTTCTCCTACCATTTTACACCACGTATCCTCTGATGCAGCTGCATGGTTCTCAGTGCGGTTTGTTCACCGGTGAGTTAAACTTTTCATTTCATTAATTTCATCAATAATTCTGAATTTATGTCAATATTAATAATGCAATAACGCCAAAGTAATTATGACTGTAGCCCAGACGGTAGAAGTGCCTTGCGTTGTTTTTATTGCGCCACGACCTGATTCAAATACAGTCTCTCCGAAACTTCTAAAATTCAAAGACTACAATACTCTATGCGTGTGTGATTTGGCGTGTGGTGGGGGTGGTATAACCCTTGTGGTACAAAAACAGTTCCGCGCATGACAGAGTTGTACATTGAAGATTGAAAATATGTAAGATTACCTTTTTATTGTTATATTAACTAATGTTGTAAATATTGTTGGAAGGTTTCATATTCAGCATGTACCAGACGCTGATGGTGGATCTGAAGGGGGTTTCAAACGTCACGAAGACAACTCCGATGGCGAACTTCTGTTTCGGAGTGGCCAGTGTCATCGGCACACCAGCCGCAGGTCATTCATAATTTCCATTCACCAATCCCAATCAATAATATTATTATTTCAAATTTCTTGTTACTCTACATTATATTACATTATTATTGTTACTACTTGTTGGCTTTGTTGTAAGTAATATTTTGTTGTAAGTAATACTCTGTTGTAAGTAATACTTTGATGTTGCACGTTGTCGCCATTGAACGCAGGCTTCCTATACGACCAGACGAACGACTACAACGTCACCTTCCTGACCACAGGCGGCATAGTTCTCGTGGGAAGTCTCTGGTGCTTCGTGGCTCTGTTCGTCGACGCTAGAAAGAAGAAAAAAATTAAAAATTCTGTTGAATGTTGAAGATTATTTTAAATTATTATAGGTAATTAATTGGAATTTTAAAATAAAATCTAAATTATTATTCATTAATAAATTTGTGAGATCACATTTTTTACGATTCCCTAACAATTACGCATAATACCCATTTGTAAAGACAGTAGATGATTTCGTGCAGATTTTATTTTTATTGTCCACTTTGAAAACGCAACTGTTAAAATCTAACGATTATTTATTAATTTTTACTTTGGCATAATATTTTTCAAGATTTTTGACAATTTAAGGTTTCGCACCTCTACTTGAGGTGTGAAATTTTTGAGAATAATTTTTTACACTTGTTGAAAATAAAAACTATGTGCAATTTCATTATTAAATAGTGAAAAGATTAATGTTTGAATTTATTCATTGTTTCCAAAATTATCAATCAATCAGTCAGTCATTCAGTCATTCAGTCATTCAGTCAGTCAGTCAGTCAGTCAGTCAGTCAGTCAGTCAGTCAGTCAGTCAGTCAGTCAGTCAGTCAGTCAGTCAGTCAGTCAGTCAGTCAGTCAGTCAGTCAGTCAGTCAGTCAGTCAGTCAGTCAGTCAGTCAGCCAGCCAGCCAGTTAGTCAGTCAGACACTCAGTCAGCCAGTCAGTCAGACACTCAGTCAGTCAGTCAGTCAGTCAGTCAGTCAGACAGTCAGTCAGTCAGTCAGTCAGCCAGCCAGTCAGTCAGTCAGACACTCAGTCAGTCAGTCAGTTAGACACTCAGTCAGCCAGTCAGTCAGACACTCAGTCAGTCAGTCAGTCAGTCAGTTAGACACTAAACTTCCATCAATTTCAACTTTTGGGATGTTCATATTTTTGACATTGAGAAATAAACTGCTGCTACTCAACGATTTTCTTCCTCATACCAAAGAAGTGACACTTGACCATCGTCATCATGATTGACCATTTGCACCAAACATAGTTCATATCTATTAATTTTTGCGCACTTTCAAGATTGTGAAAAATAATGGCTGAATCATCTGCCAATAGGAGCCAAGATTTAGCTCTTAACAATTGGCAAATTCCTTTGTATTGAGAATTTTCATTATTGGGTTGAAGCATGAATTAAATAATAGCGGGAAGTCTGGTCAGACATTAGACCGTCGTTGGCTGATATTAATTTTGAGTAGTTAGAGTAAATTGGCATTATTAACGATTTAAATATTTGTGGTACTTGGTGAAACAAAAGGATTGAGTTGATTAGAAAATGACTTATCTTACCACAGCATTCTTAAGATTGAGCAGTGAAACGACGATGGTTTTTAGTGTTTCTTTTTTGTTTCTTTTATAAGGTGTGTCAACATTTGACAATGTTCTAATATGCCGTACACCTTAGGATAGAATCTTTTTTGAATGTTTGTGGTGATGAGCTTATTCTGTTATGGAAAATTAAATAATCTATTTTTTATAAGTATGGAGAGAATTTTTTAGCTAGTCGGTTATAGAGTTATAGGACGAAAATTGGCTGGGTCGTTGGGTCTTTTTTGTAGAATAAATTTGTTAAGGCTTTTTCCAGCAATTTGGTATTAATATATATATATATATATATATATATATACATATATATATATATACATATATATACATACATATATTTTTACAATATTCTATAAATTCTACCGAATGTTTGGCGTTAATATGTTTGTAGTTCGTTTTTTCGATTTTTCTCAATAAAGTTTTTTGGTGAACGTTTAGTTTATTAAAATTTTAAATAAACTTATTTTTCGAATTCATGCGGCCATATTTCGATTCCGAATGAATCATCATCAGTGCTCCTTGCTGTATATATAGGGAAATATTGACTTTGTCAAGATGAACTTTGACGTTGTAAAAATTAACTTTGGTGTTGTAAAATTGAATTTTGATGCGAATTAGGTGTCAGGTTTCTTTATTGGCTGGTCATTTTCTTTGGTCTCCTTTTCTTCATCGATAGCATCATATTCTTCTTTGTCACTATTTACGATGCTAGTTTTTATTACTTCTTTGTTTTCGTTGTTGGTTAAGCGCCGGGTTGGAAGTAAGGTTGTCATTTTTTGTTGTATATTTATTTTTGGTTTATTGATGTCAATTAGGACTGCTTCTGCAATTTTAAAATGCGTGTATTTGTAGTTGTAGTGTAAACGTTCACCAAAAAACTTTAGTGAGAAAAATCAAAAAAACGAACTACAAACATATTAACGCCACCCATTCGGTAGAATTTATAGAATATTGTAAAAATCATGGTCTATTACCAACACATACATACATACATATATATATATATATATATATATATATATATATATATATATATATATATGTATGTATATATATATATATATATATATACAATTTGGTATTGTAGCAGAAACCCAACATTTAAAAATATCTTGTGAAAAAGGTTTTGAGAATTGGAGGTCTTGTTAAGATAATAATTGAAACTTGATCCAACAGGTACGAAAAGGCGCGAGATTTACTTTTGCGAACACTTTTTGAAACCTTTTCATAAGTTGTCTTATAAAGGCAGTGGCAGGGACGAGATTCCATCAGAAATGTTGAAATTAATTTTGTCGTCGGCTTTCATTGAGTTGAAAAAAAATGGCTCCCTCCGCCGACAGTGAGTAGGAGGTCTTGATATGGAGGGCGAGAAAATCTCTTTGCAAGAGAACCAAAAATTATTTGGTAGTTTGAATGAAATGTTTGATCGGTTGTCAGGTTTATTGTTTTGTTTTGGCTGACAAAGTTTGGATTTTATTAGTTTAATGGTAACAATTATTACTTTGTCAAACGAGTTAATGTTCTGACCAAGAATTTTTAAATTTTTCATTTTTTTCTGGAGTTATAATTGGTTGACATTTATGTTTAACTGTACCATATGTGTTGGCAAAGTAGTTGTAGATCGTGTTTTGATAGATTGAAGTAAATGTTTTAATGCCATGCAACTCGCTCAAGCCATCAAACTCCTGATGAAAATAGGCATTTGCTTCAGCCCACAGACTATGCGTTTTTCGGCAGCTTGGTACCCGAGAGAGGATTTGGAGTTGTTGATGATGTAGACGTGTGTTTAATTTGTTGTTGGGCGTCGTTGACTGTATCGTTTATTTCGACATCAGGTACTGTTGTTTTGAGGGATTTGGACATTTTGCAAGTCCGACGATGCATAAGTACCTAATTCCATCCGATTCTTGCAGAACCTTCCTCTGCAACAACGCAGCATATTATCAATGTCATTGTCTATATTGTTAATTAAATTATTATTATCTTACATAATATCAGGAGAAATTTTAAAATTAGCTTTCGGCGAAACATTCAATTTTGTAGTTACGTGCAATGTTTCTTATGAACAACGCCATGAATGTCTGCTTACAAATTTAAAGTTCTTAAAACAATATGAACATTTTGTAGCATTAACACCATTTAAAAGTTTAAAAACTAAATTAAAAAAATATTTAATTTAAAATTTGAATTACTATTAAAACTTGAATTAAAATATACTGCCATAATTCTCGTATTTTTATCTTAAACTGTAAACTAAATTTAAATATATTAGGCACTTAAAAACAGATCTCTTGTTCGCAATAACAGCCACAACAACAACAACAATAATAATAATAATAACAATAATAATGATAATAATAATAATAATATAAAACTATAAAAATGTCTCCTATGCATCTGCTATATATTTGGATGATATACTCGATTTGTCGTTGAAAGGTTTTATCGTAAATAGAAAATTTTTTACATTTAATATTTGTGGTCGTTAAAATCGATAACAAGTATTAGGCAACTACTTCGCTACTTGATGTTACTTTCTTTCTCACTCAGTTGCATTTCATTTAAACATGGTATTTAATAATGAAATTAATTAGAAAAACTGATCAAAAAAGCATAAAATTCCAACAACTTAGAAGAACCTAAGAAATAGATACAATTAAAAATTTTGGTATAATTTAAGTTATTCCATATTTTTCAAAAATTTTATTTTGTACTGTCTAACACTTTTGATTGAAAGAAAAAAAGAAAATTTTTAGAGAATTGATGTTGAAGTATAATAAAATTGAAGAATGTTATAGAAAACAGTTAAGAATTCTACGTTGAAAACTGCAAAAACCAGTGGTGGGTAAGATTTAACTTTAAATGATTTGAAAAAAAGTGATTTTAAGAATGATTTTATTTATTCATTAGTAGTTTTTATTTTTTGGTTTTGAATAGTTTTATTACACAAATTTCTATTGTTCATTTCAATCAACAGTTTCATTGTTGTTCAGTATTTCAAACTAATTTTAAGAGGTCTTTTGAAATTTATTTGATTAAAATTATTTAATTGAGGCTAAAATTTTGTAAACCTTTGGCCCATCTCATCAAGTAATTGATGGCAAAACCCCACTTGGATTGTTACTATTGCCAAATTTTCAAAAAGTTTTACTGACAAACAAATCAAAGTCGAAATGAAGTTGAGAAAATTGATCTTCGTCAAATTTCACGTTGAAAGTATTTTTACGTACCATCAAATCATTTTTCACATTGCTGACGTGGTTGAAATTTTACTTCTTATTTTGAGTCCATATTTTAGAATCTTCCGCTGAGGGTAAGTCAGCTAGAATGTTTGACGATGCAGCGTGTCGGTTGACAAAACGGATGTAGACAACTTTGACGGGGGGTTCAAAATTTGAAATAAAACCTGCGAAAATTGCAAAATTTTGCCTGATGTAGCCAAAATTAGACTGGCAACTTTTTTGTTGTTTATTGAGCAAATTTTTGTAAATTTTATACTTAAAACTTTGTTTTGTGCGTAAAAACTGAGTTTTAATAAAAAAAAGGTTTTTAAGTTTGATTGATTTATTGATTGTTTGACCATGGCCCACCCGGACCCCCTCAGACCCACCCAGACCCCCTCGGACTCACCCGGACGACTCCTGGATTCAAAATTGGCATTTGTTGTTGAAAGAATTTTAAAAAAAACCATGGATATATATAAATAATATAGTAATAATATATATATTAAAAATATATATATATATATATTAAAAATAATATATAAAAATAATATATATTTATATCCATGAAAAAAACGCCGAATATATTAATGCGAATCATTCTTCGAACGATTTTATTTAATTTTGATTAACACTTATTATATTACATAAATTTTATTCTTTCAATGAATGTTTTTATTATGACGATACTAAAATATATTCACAAAATAATAATAATTATTATTGTTATTATTATTATATATAATAATTATATATATTATCAATTTTGCTATTATTATTATTTGCACATTCAAAATGAGTAAACGGATAGTATATGAATAATTTTTATCGAAGATAACAGTAGGATGATGGTTAAATTCCTCTCGAGTTCATCGATGATTAATTTAAATATTTGGGTGAAATATATGACTTCAAATGTAAAGTTGATTAAAAAAAAGAGCAATTCTAGAAAAGGTCGAATGGTAGGTTGGAAATAATGAACGTTTCAAATGCAACAACACAATGGAAACTCCAAATTGTAAACGTTGATCTCGTCTCGACTCTCATTCGAATAGCTTCAATGCGACATCATCTTGTTAACGTGAATAGAAAACAACATGGACTCGCTGTTAAGAAAACTTGTAAGAAACTGGCGATCTGTTTTGATAAGCAAAGAATAATTACATAAAAATCGACAACCAAGTTAAACAGAATGAATACAGTTGGCTTGAATGAACAAAACAGTCCTGAAGCAAAGCCAAGGAATATTGATAAAGTCGATCATAGCACGTCCTGTCATTTGTGCTCGAGAGATATTTGATTAGTCACGACAAATTCTCACACTGATTATAAACAACATCAAGTTGCACATCGAAGCCGATTGTAACATTTTTGCAGATGTCGATGGCAAGTCAGTTCTCAACTATTGACCTCACTCAGGCAAAGAAACAATTGAGATATTGAAATTGACAGTTTGTCACGAAACTTTTTTCGCTAAATCTTAAAGATTCAAAATTGTAACATACAAAAAAATCTCAAAAGTAACTCATCAAATGATTTTAAGATCTGCAATCTTTTGATTAATGCATATGAAGTTTCTCCAAAAGATTTTTATAATTTTCTTAAACTATCTTTAATAGAAATGTTTAGGTCTGACCGTTTCAGAGAGAGCTTTGTTATTTGAACGGCACCCACTTTTTATGGGATATATTGCGACAGAAATAAGAGTCGGTCCTATTTTTATATTATCAATTAATCTTTCTATTCATCTGCAGATGACGAGCATTGCTGATTATTCATTCATTTTAATTTTACAACTGACAAAACTTTTGTAATGACATATTGTTTTGTTTTCTTTCTATTCAAAATAAAAAAAATTACATTATTTTTATTACTACTATTATTATTCTACTACTTCTACTACTAATACTACTACTACTACTATTACTACTATTACTACTACTACTACTACAACTACTACTACTACTACCACCAACACTACTACTATTATTATTAGATCAACATCTTTATTATAAACAATGTTTACAAAACAATTTGTATACATTTTTTTAAAACTTCTTTCTGGCTCTTGACACGAAGCCACAACCTCCTGGTGAAATTGAACCGTCGGAAGGAACCTCCGATTGGCTGATCAGCTCACGTGCACCGCACCACTTGACTGCTGAACTTCGATAAACACAAACAACTTCACTTGAAGCGGTCATAAAACGAAACACAAGTGTTGTCGGTCTTGATGTTTTTGTTTGCTCGTCATTTTATCTCTTTACTTCAAGTAAGTAAAAATCTTTAAAAAAAATAGAAAGTGAAGTGCCATAAATATCTCGACGCGTCTATTTCAGTTTGAACTGTTCAGTTGCTGCTTCGGTACAAAATCTAGATTCTAACCATTAAACAACTGTACATAAAAATATTTTCAAGAGGTCAAATAATACTAAGAAGATATAAAACGCTATTGAAAATTTTTAATTTAATATGAATCGAATTTATGTAAAAGGCAATATTTCACCTTTACTTTAAAAAAAAATTAAATGAGTCTCATTAGAATAAGAAAATTATTTTAAAAAATGAAAAAACTTCTTGCCATCGAGTATTAAGCTGATCTTTACAGCAAATTTTAATAAAATATAACATAATTAAGTGACGACTCGCACAAATACGACATGATGTGTTCATAAAATTCAGGGCACAAGTGTGTGGCAGGCGGAAGATCAAACGAGGGTCACCTCAAGTGACGTGTGTGGCTGTGGGGTGGCGTTCAATTCAATACAATGCTCAACGTTGTAGCTGCAAAAAATTCTTAATCATGGTTATAAATAAACCAATTTAAAGAACTGGAACATAAAAATAAAACTACTGAAATTTAATTTTCAAATTTTGTGTTTGTGAGTTGGGAAGGTGTTGAACGAGACGTGATCAATTAATTGAGGTGTTGTTATAACGTTTTGTTATTTTTATTGAAACTCGTTGAGCATAGTCCACACCTCAAGCACATTTTTGTTGTTTGGTTGTTGCGCAAACGCATAATAAATAATAAATTTGCATCAAAACTTATGCGTCTTCATATAAATATGCTAATCAAAACATCCACTCATTAATGTCTATAAATTTCATCCTAGCTTTTATTTCTTGCATGGTATAAATTTTAAAACGTTTTAAAACTCATTAACGTTCGTGTTAAAAAAACGAAATAAATTTTATCACATTTAAAAATCCTGAAAAAAATTAATGCCTTTTTCGTAAAATTTGTTAGTTAGTGCATTTCATCAGTCAGTTTCAGCATGGATGGCGATGCAGGTGTTAAGAACAAATACTCAACTTTACCTACCAAAGAAACCCTCACCAACAACCACCACTCACCACCACCGAACAACCCAAACGATGTGAAGACAGCAGAACACGAGGACAACATGGAATCCAGTGTGGAAACTAAATGGAGTTGGGTGGTGTTGGTGGTGTGCATGTTGGGCACCACCATCATGGGCAGTTCCTTCGTCTTGTTCTCGCTTCTCTATCGCGACCTCGTCGAGGACTTCCAAACCACGTCAGCCGCCGTCGGCTGGGTCGGCTCCCTCTATGTCGCTTGCTCCAATGTTTTAGGTCAGTTTTTTTTTATTTCGACATTTTCTAATTTTGTTCCATTTAAAAGAAAACTTCACTCATTTAGTTCCTACTTTCACAAACTTCACATTGAATTTTTTTAAATTATTTTTTCTTGAATGCTTCGTGTCATCGTGGAAACATTTTAAAACTTGGAGTTCAACTTGCAAATAATCAAAAAAAGCAAACAAAATTGAAATCCTCGCAAGGCAAGTTTGAGGGGGAATTCAAGTTAAAATGTTACTTATAATTAAGAAAAATGTAATACCTATATAACATGAGATTATATAAAATCAAAAAATATTTAAAATTTCAATTTAAAAATAATTTTGATAAACTTTTCAAATTAATCATTTTCAGCATAATTTTCATAAAAGCTCAACAAAACTGAAAAATGATTTAATTTTGCCAATTTTTTTGTAGGAATAATTTTTGGGTTGGCCATGGACAAATTTGGCTGCCGAAAAGTGTGTGTGTGTGGCTCGCTCCTGTGCACCTTAGGATACTTCTTATCCTTCTTCGCAACCAATCTCTTCTATCTCTATTTCACTTACGGAATCATGGCTGGTGGGATTTTTTATTTTATTATTTTATTCAAAACGAAAAATCAAGTCACGCACCTCCACACCTATTTCGCCTAATGTTAAACTTTCAATACCAACAAGACATAAGACACACGTAACCGAACTAAGTAATTTTAGGTCTTAACTAACCATTTTGAAAAATAAAATATTAACGATGGAGTGTTGAAAACAAAGGAACGGGTTTGGGCATGATAGTGACGACGTGCAACATCAACTCGATGAAGTACTTCGACCGGAGGAGGCCGTTGGCCGGTGCGCTGGTCAGTGGCGGCTTCTCCATCGGCTCCATCCTTGTCGGGCCCGTCATGAAGTTATTCTTCTGCAAGCTCTTTTTCGAAATATTTTCAATATGAAATAATTATTCTGTGTTAAATTGTTTCTTAATAAACAAATTCTAGAAAAATTGATGGACATTTTTTAGAATTTGCGATCTCTGATGCCACTTAATTATTCCATTTTTTTTCTTTTTATATTTGTATTCATATTTTCCCGCATAAAAAACTTTTGGTAATAACAAACAATATTCACAATTAGTTACTAAAAGCAGCTGAATATTGACGAACAATATTTTGAAATGTGTTCAGGTACATTTTTGAGGCGTACAATTGGCGGGGCTCCTTCGTCATATTCGCCTGCCTAACTCTGCAGATGACTGCAGCGGCTGGTTTTGCATTCAGACCCGTAGAAAATTTGAGTTCAAAGAAAAACATGAAAAAAGTGAAAGGCGTTCGTGAACGTGATGAAATAAAACTAAAAAATGAAAAATGTCTCCCGAAATTCAATGAAGATTGCATACAAAACGAAGATGACATCAAAGTTTTCAAAGAAAAATTTTTAAAAACAAGATCTCTATACAACATCTTCTACCCAGCAACTTTTGGAGAAGAAACAAGCGATAGAGAAATTGACTTTTCGTTAGCAGCATCAAAAAAGTATAAAAGTCTCGATCTGCTTAAAAGTCATCCAACTTCAAATAAAAACATTGTTAGCAGATCAATAGCCAAGTCGCTGAGCAATTCTAACTTCAATCACCTTCAAGCCGAAACAACGAAGAACACGAATTCAGTGATGACTTTTGAGAGGCAATCGTTTCTGCAGCTGCTGACGAGCGCAGATCTGTTCTGCTACCTGCTGAGTTGTTTGTTTCTGTATGTCGGTGCGCAGGCCTACATGCAGCACATGCCGAGCAGGGCTATCTCCCTCGGCATCGACCGCTCACTCGTCCCCTACTGGCCCGTCACCTACAACGTCGTCGCTGGCCTCATGAAGACGGTCAGGTCCAATTACTCTCTTTGTATTTACTAATAATCAAAGTGTGCGTGGTTTATAAGAAGTTGAAGAACTTTTTCAATTACTGTATTGTACTGTTAAACTGTATTGTTGTCTTATATAACAATTATTATAAACTGATGTTTAAAATTTATTCACCAGAGCATTCATCTATTTGAATTTATAATTTATTCATTCATTGAATTGAATCTGTTCAGAACGTTTAGAAGAAGGGGGATGCCTTCATCTTAAGTCGCTGGAGTTTGTTATAAAAACTGTTTTGAGGCGTTACCACCACCGATGTTTTGGCGGAACGCTCATTTCAAGATGCAGCGTTCGCGGGGGCTTTATTATAGATAGAAAATTTTAAATCAACTCACAACGTTCAAAAGACGATCGAAGCCTCGGAATCTCCTGATGGCGTCCAAATGAGCAGGTGTAAAAAGTTTCAACCTCACCGCGCAGTGGAAAGTTTTTTGAAAAGTCGATTAAAAAATTTTTACTGTAGAGACGAGCATGTGAAGTTAATGTGGGCGCTGTAAAATGTGAGGAAGTCGTGGCAACTTTTAAAATTAAATGCCGAATAAAATAAAAAACTTGAATTTCAAAAATTGGTGACTTTTTGTTGCAACCAGGTGAGTGGGGTCATCGCCAACCGACCAAATGTCAACCGAGGATTAATATTTTCAATGGCAGTTCTTGGAATGGGTCTGTGTCATCTGTCCCTGCCCCTCTTCCGCTCCTTCGTCATGATGGTCATTCACGGCTGCCTCGTTGGCTTCTGCTCTGGTCAGTTCACTATTCCTTCTTTCATTCATTCATTTTGTTTCTCTTTCATTCATTCATTCATTCATTCATTCACTCATTCATTCACTCATTCATTCATTCATTCATTCATTCACTCATTCACTCATTTTTATTCTTCATTTTTTATATTTCGTCCAGCAGTACTTGTTTGGAGTTTTTCTTTTGAGCGTTTGATCGAACGCAAATGAATTTCTCTATGAGTATTTGAACAAATTAAAATCACGAAACTTACGTGCGAAAATTTTTATGAATTTGAAGCAAACCGATAACAAAAAACTAAATCTTTTGATTCGAAAAATATAATTTTGGGTGAAAAATTCATTTTAACCTGACCTCCGTGAAGGGTTTATATTCAGTTTGTTCATAACCATCGTGGTGGACATGAAGGGGGTGGTGAACGTGACGCGGACCCAACCGATGACGACCTTCAACTTCGGGGTGGGAGCCCTCATTGGCACGCCCTTTGCAGGTCACCTCAACCACCTACTTTCTCACTTCTGATTAATTAATTTTTTTAGATTCAAGTTTGGAATTTATTAAATAAATGGTAAGCCTTATAATCCCACTTAGTGGAAGTAATCAGGATTAATTTTTTATTCTAATCTTAGTTTTCCTGAGATTCATATATTTCCTTTTATATTTTTTCACTAACGTGCTAAATCCAAAATTGTTTCAACCTATAATTTAATTTATTAAATAAAATATTGTATAGCATTTCAAATTTACAAACTGATCAAATGATTGCCCTATGAAAATAAAATATTTAATTTTAAAAATAATATTATTCAGGATTTTTATTTGACGTCACGGAGAATTATGACGTAACATTCATCGTGACTGGCACCATTTTGTTGTTTGGAAGTTTTTGGAGCTTCGTGTCGGTGGTGCTTCGGGGCAGGGCAAGGAGAAGAATGGGAGGGGTTGTGTCTGCGGGGGCTCCAAATCATCCTTCAGCAGTTTAATTTTCCACATTTGATTCCGGCATGAATTGTATGCAGAAAGTGCTTTTGCCTGCTAAGTGCTGCAACTTGACACGATAATAAATAAAATAAATTAGGAAGGATGAAGCAAAAATAATTCACACACAAACAACACAGCCATACCAGAAAAACTACTTCCCAAAATAGGTGCCTGAGTTAGTTATTAAAACTGTACGTAATTGAAAGAAGGATGTTTTGCTTCTGAGCTGGCACACATTCCCACACTCTTCAAAATCAACTCGTTATGAGACGTCATCATACTTGTCTGTGGGATGAAACCAAACTTGTACGTTGTAGACCAGATTCTTGTATTTCAATCAGTCATAAAAGCTTGATAATTTAAAAACACACCAACACCTCCCAAATCAAAGATTTCTAATTCATAACCCTGTTTGAAGCTTGGTAAAATAATAATCCTCATTCATTAGTTACACATCGTGCAGTTCTCGTTCTCTGTTATTGTATACAAATTTCTCATGTTTGCTTACTTACTAAGTTATAGAATATACAATACAAACATTTTCCATGCCATGTTTTTATAACTGGACTTATTAATTGTGTTGATGCCATGCATTTCACTTTATTTAACTTTATTTAAAAGTGTGAATGGACGAATGAGTTAATGAATTAAGTACTGAATAAAAAGTTTGTGTTTTGTGAAAATAAAATAACAAAAACACACATCAAGGTTTCAGCTTCAATTTATTAAAAATTAATCTATCAACCTCTTCTTAGAAAATGAGCACTGAATTCCAATAAACTGCCGGTTGCGAATGAAAGGTTGGACGCGCACACACATACACACATATACACGCACACATACACACATATACACGCACACATACATGCACATGATAATGTTATGTGATGGCAGCCTGCGATGAAGAGTAACACAAACAAACGGATGTGGAGATGATGGCACGATGGTGTGGGGAGGATGATGATTCGTTTCTCAGTATTTAATAATTTCCACCAATGATTCGTTAAATTAGAAACTGTTCTTGCCAGCTGTCTGAGATGTTGTGTCGATGAATGTTGAACGTTGCATGCAGCCTGAATAGCCATCGTCCGTGCATGCCAGCTAGTTCGGTGAGTCGTAAAGAACTCGAACGATTATAACTTCGGACCAGATGTTTTTTTAGAACAAAAATACTTTAATGATTTTAAACGAGTTTAGAACAGGTATCTGAAATGTTAATAAAAATTTTGTCCTAATATAAGCAAAAGATGGATTAAACGACATTCAGAAAAACCAGAAAAACGGATAAAAAAATAAATGAATGAAAAAATAAATGAATAATAAAAACAAAAAAAACAAATGATCAAATTTGGTAAAAATTTGAAATATTTTCAAGCATCCATCAGAAAATTTCACTGCAAACTTGAGAGGAGCAGATGATTCGCATCTGTTGATGTTAGATGAGCTCTGAAATATTTACTGCTTAATGTTGAAATTGGTCAGGAAGGAAAACAAACATTCATATTTTGAATATTGAAAGAAACATTCACTACCTTCATGTCTCAGCAAGCATTCGCACCGCTCTTGCCGATCCTCAAAGTGATTACTATTGTTCCAATTCGATATGAACACTCCATTCGTATGAGTCATTTCGACCAGACATCATAAATTGAAAAATTATCTTTGTTTTGAAGTTTTTACAAAAAACTTCTTCTTATCAAAATCTTAAAACAGTCACACAATTATCACATATCCATTTTAAATATTCCCATCAATAAATACATACAAAAACACAAGCACACACACACATATACATATATATATATATATAACTACCAAAACCAACACCAATGTTATAACTTCAATGATCTCTATATTTCAAACATCAGTGTTGTAGCTTCCAACAATCGCGATCATCGTCATATCTTTGTTCTTCCGTATTGTATTGTTCAAGACTCCCGATAGATGTGCACAATTGCTTCAAACGCAAACTTTGCTGAACGTTCATTTGAATGCCAACTGCAATAGAAACACTAAACTAATCCAAGTAACTACATAAATCACAATTACAACTCCTCTTCAAACCTCGCTACTGACTTCGCTACTCCTGTCCTTCATATACAAGAGATTCTGACAATTTAAATATTGCAAATATAACAAAGATAACAAAGACAACGAATAATCATGATAACGAATAATATAGCTCAATTTGACCATAGTTGCAGTTATAACAATATACACAATTATTTATTTATTGATACACATATACATGTCAGCTCTATTAGCAAAGTGGTTTTTGAACTCGAGGTCTCCATTCAATGGGTTATTATGAAATGATGGAGCGATAGCAGATGGATGTGCTTAAAATGGACTCAACAAACATTACTTCATTATTAATGTTGACATTAACCAACATGATGCCACAAACGCACACACGCGTAAACACAAACACGTACACAGACACACACACACGCACACAAACAATCAAACACACATGCACCAATGCAGCTATGAACTTCAGATAATTTTAAAAACAACATAGATACGCACAGACACAAACAATTCCACAAATGCATGAAAATATACAAAGGCACAAATGAAAAATAAATACACACCAACATTCCAGAACATGTACAAACACACACATAAGCATACAAACAAATGTTTAATGATGTGAACCACACATGTAAACATGAACTTCAACACAAACAAACCACATTAGATAGATAAATGGTGAACCCTGTCCAGCAATTGTAAACACTTCCCATGCACTTTCCATCTTTCGTCATCAACACAACATTACTGCGTAATTCATTTGCACTCCCAGGCCGTCAAATTGATTTCAACAATTAAAGTTCCAACCTATGCATAGGCGTTCAATTGTACAAATGTAGAACAATCATCATTATTCCTCCATTCCTCCACAAAAATGCATGTGCATAAACAAATGCAAACAAAAAAGATACGAACGTTTTTCTTCGTTTCTCAACCTCCAACTGAAATTGACTTTCAAGTTTGGAACTGGGCACTGAGCAATATAAAAAGGTTGTGTGGGACCGTCGCATTCCACTCGTTCAATGGAAACCAGAGGGTCATTTAGGATATTAGGTCGTAGGGGATGGATGGAATTTAAATTGATTATTTTTTTCTATAAACTTTTTGTCAAATTTTAATTGAAAATTGTATTCCACTTCTAAAAGACTTATTGTAGATGGCTTCTTTGTTATTAGCAAATTATTACTAATTTGAACTTGGATATTTAGAGTTCCAGTTAAAAATATTTAAATGTTTTAATTTGAACATCAGTTTAAAACATCTGATTTCAGTCTGAAGTTGTTTGATAATTTTATCTTAAAATAGCATGTCTTACCACATAATTCAATAAGTTGGTAGAAATATGTAACTTGATACATAGAAATTTGAAACGCGACGAACTCACCATAACATAACTTCACTGTAACTGCTGCTGCTGCTGCTGTAACGATTCAACTTTGTACCTTCTTGTTTTGCCTTTGAAATTGTCTTCTTTTGTTTTGTTCACTCAATAAAATTCTTAACGTTTGTTTAAGAAGTGACGTTTTCTTTAAAACTATGCTAAATAAAGAGTTTGTGTGGCGGTAGGTTGTTTTTTTGTTTGCTGTGATGTCGAAAGATGATTATGTCGTTGTGTGTGTGTGTGCGTGTGCGTGTGTGTGTGTGTGTGTGTGTGTGTGTGTGTGTGTGAGTGTGCAAGTTTGTGTTTGATGGGCGATTGTTTTTTTGTTGATGTTTGTACGTGGTGCATGTTTGTATAAGAATTACTAAAGAAAGAACTTGTTGGTATAAAATTGGTTGTTGTTGTTGTTGATGTTGTCGTTGATGTTGATGTTGTTGTTATTAATGTTGTTGTTGTTAATGTTGTTGTTGTTTATGTCGCTTGTTTTATTTTTGTTCCATCGACAAATTGGGTTCGTTCCCAGCCATGAAGTGTTCACAAACAGCAGCCGGAAAATGTCAACGAACTCATCAGACAGCAAATAAAACCAACTAACTTCACTGGCCGACATAAAATATGCGAATTAATTTTTTGCGACATAATGTAAACGAAAATAATGCGACGGTTGCATCTGTAACGCGTGGGTCGGCCGCGTACGAAACTCACTGCCCACTCAGTCGATGTTTTATTCTAAAATTTTATAAAGAGGAACAATTTTATATCAATCTGTATCTGAATTTGCGAACCAAAGTAAACTAAGATCCTCCTATAATGGAGATCATGTGCTTCCAAGGTTGAATTTTGGTAAAAGAATATCCTCAGTTTTGGCAGCACACATTTTGAATGATCCATTCGTAGAACTAACGAGAATTGACAACATGACCCGCCAGGTTTTCAAGAAGCATTTGAGAAGTCTCAACAATCCACAGGGAAGGTAGCGCTTCTGAGGTTCTCTCTGCACAAGTCATGCGATGTAATATGTACGATACTTCTCTTGATCTGTTACGCAACTTTGCACGCTAACTCAGCATGGCCGTACATGAATCATTCTCCCATCCGAAAATGTTAGAGGTAATTTTTTTGGAGATGAAATTGAAGCTGAGATGAGAAGATGAGGATGGTTGGTGACGTAGTGGGAGGTTGCTGCACAAAAGTTGTACAGTTTGCTGAATTTTTTCTCAAACTCGAGTCTTTACGTCTGCAATGCAATTATATTCATATAGGCTGTTATGAGTTCGTTTGTGTTCGTGTGAGGCCACTGCCTCACGTCCCTAGTATTTGTTTCGAGATGATGCGTGTCATGTTGAATTATTAATTATTCTCTGTCTTTATTAATCGACCAAAATTTTAATATTCGGTAGAAATAATGTTGTCTATTTGTTTCTACACACACACACACACACACACACACACACGCACGCACGCACACGCACACACACACAACACACAGATACACATACGTACATACACACACGCATGCACACACAACCACACAACCACACACACACACAACAGAATAATATATATGTTTCTGTGTGAGTGTGTTTGTGTGAGTGTGTTTTTGCAGTTCATATGTTTTCCAAATTTTAACCGATAAGTCCACTTGTTTCTAAAAGTTATTTCATTTTAAAGTGACAATGTGGCAAGTGACAAACTTGTAACAAAAAGCAAAAAATTTCATATCATATTCGTCAGAACCTTGGAAAATAATTTAACTACATTATTTAACTGTTTTATTTATGATATTAACTTGATTGGCATGTGGAGACAAAAAATTGAAATATTAAAATTTTTGATTGAAATGTTTAATTCCCCGATGAAGATTTGATGCTTGAACGATGAGCAGCTAGCAGCAGCAGCAGCAGGTGGATGAGTTGATTTACATTCGGCGGGTGCAGCACAACTCACTTCAAACAGTTCAGCATTGAGAATGTTTGCCCCGTCCATCAAAGGTTTTTAAGGTGTGTAAAAATTTATTAAGCAAAAAAAGTTTCAAATAATTTTTTTCTTTCAAATTTAATTTTATGTTCAGCCGATTTTCTTTTGATTTGAAAAAATGTATAACTTATATGGTCCTGTAATCAGTTTAAAATTTGTGCTTGCAGCTCAGTTTTTGCAAACCGTTGATTTATATAAAATTCTTTTAACAATTTTTACTAGCTTCATATTCTTAATTTTTCTTTTCAAATTTTTAAAAATGATTCTTTTATATCTATTTGATTTGTTTCAATTTTGAAATTTTGTAGACATGCACATTTTTTTAACTTTCCATCGTCAAATGTTTAATCATTTTATTTGCGCATTTGGCGTTTCTATAATTTCAATTTGAATGCAAAGTTTGGAAGGTGCGGGTTGGAAGGGATTCAATTTTTTCAACGATCGAAGCAGCACCGCCCAAGAGCAGCGCTTGACATCAGTTGGAAGCTGCTGAGTAGTTTGCAATTTGCTGGCGGGGCTCGCTCGAATGCACAACCAATGTTGGAGAGCTGGTCAATAACGTTTGGTTAACAATTAATTAATTACTTAGTTACTTAACTAATTAATTAATTTAGTTTACAATTGTTTGTTAGCTAATTTATTAGTTAATTACGATTTGGCTCAATATATATTTAAAATTAGTCTTTCAATTTTAAAGTTATTTAAATAGTGTAATACAATGAAAATTATCGATGAAGATAATTTTCAATGTAATCTTGATGTACGTGCGATAATTTGTTTAAAACCATCCATCCGAACCTCCTACCAGAAAAAACTGCCTCCAGGTGGCACTTGGCACGAAGTGCACCTGAACTCACGTGCAAAGTTTGCTCGTTTGAAATGTGTCAAATTCAAACAACAAGATGTCATTTTATATTAGGAACAAGGCCTTAACAGAAGATATTTTAAATTTAGGGACAAGTGGAAAACAATTGAATGGGCATTATGCGTCAAAAGCAAATTTTTATTTCTATGAGCTTTCAAGATTTAAAACTATGAACTACGCGTAATAAAACTTTATTTTAAAAATAATTATTTAAGCAAAATTTAAAATTTCTAAATTTCGTTCTTTAACGAAATTTCAAAAACTTAAAAACATTCACAATTTATCAATCAAATTCGTGTTCAAGTACTTTCAAATAATAATAAAAAAAAAGTTCTATCCACACACTAGCACGACTCTTAATTAACGGCCAGTAATCAGCTGCCGTTCCAAAAAATTGTCGGTAACCCAAACAAAAGTTTTATCCTCAAATTCGTTCCATTCAACAAACAACCACAAAAAGCATCAAGTGCTGTAGGCATGAAAATAAATTTATGCAAAAAAGTAATGAAACAATGTGTAGTAACTTTTTGGGCTGTCTTTCACCCCAAAACCTTTTGAGTGTTGAATTTATTTAATGAATGCAAACAGTTTAGCAGATATAAAATTAAATATGATAGATCAGCAGATAACATGCTCAAAATATAAAAACGCACTTCAATACATTAATTCCACCAATATATCAATAACTTAGATGACGTCATTCACAGACCTTTCCAATGCTAACAGCAGCACACACACCAGGCTTGCAATTAGCGCCAACATCGCTCGCCACTTAAATCATCGCATGATTGCTCTCCTGTTATCTCCAAGTATGAAACGTTCCAATCCAATCGTACAGGCTTCCCCATTCACACAAACACCAAGCAAACACTTGCAATGCACACACCTACACGTTCAGACGTGTGTTCGCACCAGAGGGTAGCCACGGGGGGCTTGGGGCTGAAGCCTATCCACAATGGGAAATTTTGCTAAGGTTAAAGCTAAATTGAATAAAAACTCTTTGTGACGTTGTAAACACTGGAACTGAGAACTGTTTTCAATACACACAATGATGAAATTGAGCAGAATTTTATACAAACCACGGGTTTTAATAGAAAAATTTAAATTTCTTAAAAACTGTGTCGTAAGCAGAAAAATAAGGTCGCTGGCTCGGGCTTACAAATTTAAGCCTCCCCAACAAATTTTTGACTGCCACCGTTCACACGTGCAAGCAAGCAAACAAACAGAAACAAACACTTACCTCCACCTAAACTATCAAACAAACAGATACATACACAGACGCACATGCACACATTTTAACATACACACACACACACACACATCTATCTAACTAAAAAATCATGCACGCATCTAGACGCACGCAGAAACACGTGTGCAGACAGACTTGAGATATCCAGATACGTTAGTTGGCTGCTCAAGCACACAGACGCGCGCGCACAAACACATACACTGCCAGATGTGATGATGAATTCAGTAACGAGAATTTAGTAGCTCGAGTGAGAAATGTAAATGTTGGTGTGGTTTTTCAATGCTGAAAATCTAACAGTTAGTATTGAATATTATATAAATTCATCGATGTTTTAATAACGTTTGAAGCTCTTACATCTTGTGAACGTGTATTGCGATAGTTTACACCTGTGTGACGTATCATACGCAGTAGAATGTATGCTACGTTATCAAAGGACAGGATGGAACACAGAACATTGGATAAAACAGTTCACAGCATCTTCAAAACTTCAAAATAAACATTGAAAACAACGCTTGAAGATACTCAGTCCTCATTATCCTCCTTAACTTAAACAAACGAGCTCTAATGGGAAGCACATGTTCGTCACTGCCGCATCGCATAACAACGCGAGTGACGTGAAAAACTCTAAGTAGAAACTAATTTATGATTGGTTACGTCTTCAGCAAATAGTGAAACATCTTCTTTCCTACTTTCTCTCACTCAAACGCTGCAATCGTATTCCTTCAAATTTGATGATATTTTTGAACTTGTACTTCAACCCAACTGCAGATTTGAACAACCCAGCTACGAATTTGAAACAACAGCCTTAATTGTGAGACAGACACCAATCATGACTGACGGTGAAAAAATTACTGCTGATGATTTATGACGCTGAAGAACTCTCATTAATACAACATGATGCAAATATTTAAATCTTTCAATTTAATTAACAAATCACTTCCTGGAACAACTTCTCAACTTCTAAAATTTCATTTCATTTGTTCGAACATCATCAATTTTTATTCACAATGATTTTCATGGAACCACAGAAAAACTTTAATTTGATATCATATCTGGTAGTATGAATTATATGACTATACACTAATATTTTAAGCAATTCAATATAGTTGCAACTGTGTGCTTCAATCTGTTAGAACACAATCGACTAACCACTGGATGTTCAATGAGAATTTCAATGTGATTGAAAAGAATAAACTTCATTCTTGGTAGCAATCAAAAATTTATTGTTCAGTCAGAATGTACCGAAATAATTTATCGTAACTTAATTAAAACTCAACAAGTCATCAATATCAATAAATTAAATACAGACAGACCGGAATTAACCCGGTTTCAATTATGAACTCGTTTGTAAAGTTGATGGAACCTGTCAAACGTTTCCAACTCGTAACAAATCTCTCTCCAATTAATAATACATTTGTGGCAAATTGCTGCTACTAAGTTGGCTTCATACATCGCTTTGTTTATTTTTTTTATATTAACTGGCGTTCAACTACTAAAAACACATTTTCAACGTACCATGAACACATTTCAACTTGAATTTTCAACTTGAAATTTAAACTTAAAATTACACCAGGCTGCTCTTTGATGACCAGCACCGCATTTTGAACTGTTGTGAATAATATGAAATATAATCCATTAATATATTGAGAATTTTTAGACAAATATTATGTTTCATGCTTATAAACAAAACTAGAAGTGTTATCGCTAAATAATCAGACTGTAGATAATGTCTGCCTCACATACTGACTCGATAAATCAATCAGTAAAATTTATATCGAAACGAAGAGTGCTATGAATGAATGCAGGGGTAGTGGTTGCAGTGATTGAAAAAATTAAATTAAATTTATGCAGATTTAACATGCAAAACTTAAAATTTCAAATTTCACAACACTGGCTCATCTTTTTGTAAACAACTCGCACGTTTAAGTATGCACAGGTCCATATGTTTATGTAATGATAATAATAATAATTGAAAGAAAATGCGTGGAGGTCTTTACTAGCTATTGAAGTGCACACGGTCAGCAAATTGCAAGAAAATGTTATTAAATTCAATAATTTGATTGACATCATTTACAAAGTTAATTCTTCTTCTGCAGTTTTACGAAGTTTTAGATCTGGTAGCCTATCTTTACGTATCTGGTTTTTGTTGTGAATTTTTTTGAAAAGCAGGGCAATTAGATGTTGTTGAAAATGCTTATATTCGTAATGTATGATATTAGGCTTACTATGTTTTTATTTTTAAAAATTGAGTGTATATCTTCTGGATATTTTTCCTGCTTTTTCTTATATGCTTGATATTCTATTAATATGTGTTGGATTGCACTGCCTTTCTCCCAAAGTGGAGGTCTTGTTTTGTTTAATACCTACGAATGGGTAATTTTGGAATGACCGAGTTTTCATCAGTTTATCATGTTGAGGTTATTTCGACTTATCTTATTGATATTGACATTTTTGGGTTTATTTGATTCGGGCATAACTACTTTGAAAACATTTATTATCTTGTTCCATCTTTTTGCCATTTTTCATGTGTGAGGTCGTTTGTCTTCGCTCTTTATATCGTGATGTGGTTTTGGAATGATCGGTGGACGATCCAAGTGAACTTGAGAGGCTAATTTATCTATTCTTTCGTTACCTTCATTTCCAATGTGGCTTGGGATCCAAATTAAGGTTAGGTTATTCTTGTTACTTAATATATCGTGAATTTTGTTCTGCATTTGAACAGTTAATAGTTGTCGAGGGTGGTATTGCTTCAATGGAAGGAGAGTTGACATCGAATCTGTAAGAACTTCATAGTTTTTATCTGTTGAAATATATATTGAGGTTATAGGGAATATATCATTTTATTTTTTTTTTGTGAATATTGACACAAAACACTGAGCAAGATACAAGCCTGAATGAAAAAGCGAACAAACGTCTGTGACGTGCATTGGCGAAAATTTGTTCAATCAAAACCTCGCGTACCTCCCCCGCGCAGGCAATCCTGAACGCAAGTGGGATCGTGTATAGGACCCTTAAGAGGTAGCAACATAAGATGGCTTTAAAAGCGCATCCATCTTTAAAAATTTTGTCATAAAATATGAAAAAAATATATATAAGAGATCTTTTTTCAAACAGATCCGGCACTAACGCAAATAATACTTATTGACAATTATGTTGGTTTTTATACTAAACAATTTTACAAAATAGTTTAGTGAAGAAAAAGATTTATCAATCTTTCCCCACCGCTAACAACCAATCATGCTTAGCGCGGGTTTCGCTGTTGTCACGGTGACTTGTACATTGAAATTTCGTTTTAAAACAAATTTTCTTTGACGTAAGTTCAAGGTCGCTAGCATAATTGTTTAAGTTTTTAAAATTATTTGCAGCAGTTAATTAAACATGAAGTCTGCTCAGTTTAATTTTTAATTCAAATGTTTAACGTTCTCCATTTATTTATTTTTTTTGTTTATAAAAACTTTCGAAATTATTTTCACCAACAAATTTTCGATGGAAAAAATTGATTTTGAAAGTAACAACCACAAATTATAAATCAACACGGTCTGTTATAATAATAGAGATGGCTTTCATAGAGCCCTGTGCGATTGAACTTTTTAAGATAGGCAGATCTTTGTTTGTTCGTTCGCTTCTCCGTTTGTTTGTTGGATGTTTTGTTAACCAGGTGGAAGGGTTTGGACCTCAAGAGTGCAAACTGGCACGGATGAGGAAAAATTTACTTGTAAACATTCGTGGAGTGCGAGAAATTTGAAATATGAACGAGGGAGGATAGAAATTGTTCATTAACAAATTACAAAGTTTTTGTGTTTCAATTAAATATATATTTATATAAATTATATATTAAATTTATATACCCACTTGAGCTTTGACGGGTGTGTGTGTGTATGTGTGTGCGCGCGCGCTCTTAGATGTAGCCATATAACAACATAAGATACATAAATAGTTATATTGTAAAAATATATATTGGATTTTCTTTTATTTATACATACATTCATTTATAAGTATGTGTGTGTACGCCAACATTCGCATTATTATCTTGAAAACAAGACGAGCGAGAGTATAAACCTAGGGACTTGAGAAATTAGAGTAGACACTGAAATTCTTATGACGCTGATTTCATAAGGGTTAGATATATTTGTATAATAAATTATAAATTCAGCATAATAAATTATAATATCTGTGTGCGAAATATTATAATTTATTATGCTGCGTATTCATGGAGACAACACATCAAATGCAAACTCATAAATATGATCATTTAGGTTGACTAACTATTTTTTTGATCGCTCTCACAATCATCTTCTACTTCAGCGTTCCAATTCTTACAGGTGCGCTTGGGAAAATCCACAATGCATGCGTATGAAGTATGTATTTACGTATCATATCTGTGTACCCATAAATAATATATTTATCTGTGTGTACATATATATGTATTTATAATATATATATAGATATATATATATCATTATATATAAAAATGATATATATATATATATTTTTTACAATATTCTATAAATTCTACCGAATGTTTGGCGTTAATATGTTTGTAGTTCGTTTTTTCGATTTTTCTCACTAAAGTTTTTTGGTGAACGTTTAGTTTATTAAAGTTCAAAATAAACTTATTTTTAAAATTCATGCTGCAAATAAGGCCATATTTCGATTCCGAATGAATCATCGTCAGTGCTCCTTGTTGTATATATAGGGAAATATTGACTTTGTCAAGATTAACTTTGACGTTTGAAAAATTAACTTTGGTGTTGTAAAATTGAACTTTGATGCCAATTAGGTGTCAAGTTTCTTAATTGGTTGGTCATCTTCTTTGGTCTCCTTTTCTTCATCGATAGCATCATATTCTTCTTTGTCACTATTTACGATGCTAGTTTTTATTACTTCTTTGTTTTTGTTGTTGGTTAAGCGCCGGGTTGGAAGTGAGGTTGAGCACTGATGATGATTCATTCGGCATCGAAATATGGCCTTATTTGCAGCATGAATTCGAAAAATAAGTTTATTTTGAATTTTAATAAACTAAACGTTCACCAAAAAACTTTAGTGAGAAAAATCGAAAAAACGAGCTACAAACATATTAACGCCAAACATTCGGTAGAATTAGAATATTGTAAAAATTATGGTCTATTCCCAACATATATATATATATATATATATATATATATATATATATATATATGTATATATATATATATATATAAGATATAATATATATGCAATTATTATTGATGGAAGTCAAGGCACTTTCGCGATTAATGCCAACAATTCGGTAGGATTCATGCAGTACTGTATAAAATATGGTCTCCTTCCAACACACACACACACACACTCACACACACACACACACACACACACACATACACACACACACACAACACACACCACACACACACACACACCCATAAATATATATATATATATATATATACACACACACAAATGAATAATATATATATATACATATATGTGTGTGTATTTGTGTGCAATTGTGCATACGTACTTAACCTATCCACTTATAAGTGAGTTGTAATAAAATATATGGCCTCCGCTGTCACTGTTCACAATTGCAATCTGGTATATACGTATATATACATTTATATATATATACATATATTTATATATATATATATATATAAACATATATATATATATATATATAGTTATATTTGTATATATTTTAAGTAGTGTATATCATGCATGTTTTATATTAAGTCATATAAGCACAAATAAGAGCGTAGATGACAAATCCCGACTATCCAGCGGATTTTTATATCTTCCCCATTATTTCTTCATTTAATTTATAATTGCACAAAGGAAGGAGGGAGTGTACGTCTGACTGGACCGCTGGCTGCAACTGCTTGCTCGCCTTTCGAAACTGAAATCAAAAATTTGCTCCACTGGAATAACATAGGGAGACTTCTGCGCATCAACAAAAATACCGCATGCGCTTTCGATGCGCGCCCAACTTTGGTTTTATTTTTAATAAGCTTCAACTCGAAAAATTTTAAATTAACAAAAATTTAATGAGTTGAGTTTTGTGTTAATGATATTTCCATTGTCGCCTCAAATGAGATTATTTGTAAATCACTTTGAATGCTGTCATCAAACCTTGAACAACGGTTGATTTTGTTATTATAATGTGATTTGTTGTCGGCAAAAAACTTGGATTAACATTAAATAACTAAAAAACTTCAAGAAAGAAATAACAATCGGACTAACTTCAAGAAACCCCGTTGAACTCTGATGTCTCGTCCTCTGTCGCGTACAGCAGCTCCTCTCATCATCACTTGCTTGTCGGTCTGCTGCACCACAACATGTCATAAAAACTAGTTAGTAGTTGGTTGTATTTATTTATTTAGTGACTGTTTGTTTTGCTTTCTTTAAATTATTGTTCAGTTTGAAGTGTTTGAAGAAAGTTGTATTTCAATAAATAAACTTTTTACTACTATTTTGTAAAACTCACTTTTAATTAATTGAAAACAAAGATTTTTTTCTTGATCTCTAAGAAAGGTTGATAATAACTAGAACGATTTCGTGTTTAATGTTTAAATTACATTATAACAAAAAAGAAGCAAAACATTTGTTGTTTGGCCAAATTAAGGGTCAGCAGAATTTTGTTGACGTATTTTATTGTTGATGAGCTATAAATGACTTATTTTTCAAAAGAATTGGTGATTGTGTAACTAAATCTTGAAGAAAAGAGTAAAAAAAGTAAGATCAATAAAAGAAAGAATTACAATTTCTCATCCAATAAATCAACACGTGTCTCTATTATGCATTTTAACTGCTATTTAAAGCATTTAACGACATAATTTATTAGCCAATAACATTTTTAAATGCAAGACGCACGGCTTTTTGTTTCTCATGCTTCTAATTAAGAAAAATTATATCTATTTTAAATCTTTTTCATTTGAAATCGGAATGTGTTTAATTGAATCTTACATCTTTATGGATACTCATAATGGTTTTAAATATTTATTTAATAGTTGTTTATTGACTTTTCACAGTTATATATTATTTTATTATGAAGCAGAGTTTCATGCATATTCTTCAGTACCAGCTTGATTACAAACAAAAGTTTGTGCCACATAAGCCACCGCACGTCTTGCAAAACTTTTACTGAGTTTCATGCTGACAGATGGCATTCAATCTAATTATTGGAATGAAATTATAGTTAGTCAACAGTTGATGTTTATCTCTCTGATCAGTGGTTAGGTTTAAAATATCAGATAATAATTTATAGCGGGAAGTACAAGCACACAGACAGGGAGACAGAGCCGCCATCCTGTTGTATTGTGTATTGCCCTTTAAACTTCAAACTTCAAATCATACCGACAATTAAATTTGTATGATATCTTATCAATATTCATCACACACACACACACACACACACACAGATATATATATATATATATATCACACACCACACACACACGTTGTGTCAGATGAATGTGTATATTTTCTATTGATGAATGCTAAGACTGTGCTTTCAATATATTTTTGCCGGCATCCACTGCATTCACGGCCATTATAAACATTCAACAAAGAGCCACTGGCGTTATTTCATCCCATATGCATATATAACGATTTTTTCTAACGGTTGATCTTAAATCAATATCAAGTTTCTTGAGTTCAAAACCAAAATTTTCATTTATTTTAAGCATGATAGAACAAAAAAGCTTTTTTCGATATTTCTATACCATCTTCTGTGATCGATTTGATACGTTGTGTATGTGGCCGAACGCTAAGTAGAGCGTTTATAAAAGTTATTTATTAATAGACTGGTATTATTAGAGCTCTTCAAACATATCGCCCAACAAAAGAATAAAAATATCATTTCATAAAACTTATTCATTCATCGCTTTTTATTGATAATAAGTCAATAAATTTTCCAGATAGTTTTTCATTTTATTTCTGTATGTACTTTTGAAGAACTTTAATTTCTGCCGGTTTCCGTTAAAACTAAAAATAATCGAATAAAAAGAAAAGGTTTTTCACAGAACTTAAAAGTATTAAAAAAGAATCATAAAAAAGATAATAAATAATTCATATTTGATGGATGAAGTTTTAATTTTTTTTCATCATAAATCGAAAGTTATGAAGACAATTACAATGCTATCCAGTAAAGAAAGACCCATCACTGTGGAAGGCCTTCGAAGACCTCGTTATAGGCTGCAGATTCTCCATTTGATTCATGTCCATCTGACGACCTGTTGGAAAAATCAAATAAAAACAGTTGAAAAAAATTTGAACTGCCCACAAAATTTTCGTTGACCTTTCAACCCTAAGCAACTTTATTTATGAACGATAATAATTTATTCAAATTTGTTTCAGAAGATTTTCAAATTATTACAAATTATTACAAAAATTAAGAAAGAGATGATCATCTCCTGTTTTGTGCTGGTTGATTCAAATTGAAATCATTAATGTGTGCTATGAATTCTTCCACAGATTCATTTCATCAACCGTTTCAGACGCTCAAACCACGAAAAAATGTTCTATAATATTGTAACTGTGATGAAATAATATTCTCAATTGTAAATATAAATATTTAACATAACATAACATAATGTATTTATAATGGGCTCAAACTGAAGAGTCAATATGCCCTTCACTAAAGCAATTCCGATGTTTTACAAAGTAAATATCTTTACGATGCTTAAATGCCCAACTTTAAATATATAATTAACTTTTATTAGGAAGAATATTTATAAAATAAATCTCTGAAAAATTTTCATTCAATCTTCATTTATTACAATCGCAGACGAGTGCTACTTTACTGAATAATTACAAACTGCCTGTCGTGAAATATCAATGAATAATGTTGTGTGGGAGAGAATGGAACGTATTGACTGCATGTGCCCTCTGCGGTTCGCTCATTCCTAATTAATTCTTCGAACATATAGTGCCTGCTGGAATGCATGTTTATGAATTTTCGCTGGATGGTCAATAAATTTCAATTAACATTTTAGCAACTAACAATTAATTTAATTGTTAATTGATAAAATTGTTAATTGATGTTAATTGATGTCAATTAACATCAATTAACATCAAACAAGTGCGTGCCTGTCCATTTACATCTTTTTAGCAGCAACATATTTTGAAAGCGCAGGACGAGTTGTTACGCACAAATATCATCACTTTACATTTCAATTCCTCACATTACAATACATCACATTACATTACAACCCATTACATTACATCGTATTACAATACCTTTTTTATCATAGCACATTACAATACATCCCATAACACTTCAATGCATCTCATCGCATTACAATTACAGTAGCACTCATATGGGATTGCAAATCGCATTACATTACATTAAAATACCTTACAGTACATCACATTACATTATATTACAATACGTAGCGTTACAACGTTCTACTTTAGAAGAACTCTTTTATAATATTCCCATATTCACTGTGGTTGTACTTGAGTGTTAATTACTGCGAACGAAGGTTGTCAATTATGACGGCTCTGATGTGAATGTTTTATTATGTTATATGATGTAATGCAATGTTGTATGATGTAGCATTATGTTATTTCATGTTATATGGTGTTATATAATGTGATGTTATATAATGTAATGTGATGTTATATAATGTAATGTGATGTTATATAATGTAATGTGATGTTATGTAATGTAATGTAATGTTATATAATGTAATGTAATGTTATATAATGTAATGTGATATTATATAATGTAATGTGATGTTATATAATGTAATGTGATGTTATATAATGTAATGTGATGTTATGTAATTTAATGTAATGGTATATAATGTAATGTAATGTTATATAATGTAATGTGATATTATATAATGTAATTTAATGTTATATAATGTAATGTAATGTTATATAATGTAATGTAGTGTTATATGATGTAATGTTACATGATGTTTGTTACATAATAGGATGTTATCTACTGTGATGATATATAATAGATGTTATACGATGTGATCAGATCATATAACCTACTTCTTCCATTGAGTAGTCAGACGTCTTAATTGTTTGAGAGACTCTGACGCTGCACGCTATTGTATAAGTTATGTGGCAATTAATTAGAGATGTAATGTGATGAGATGTGATGTAATGTGTTGTGATGTAATGGGATGTGATGTGATGTAATGGGATGTGATATTATGTGGTGCTATGTAATGTGATGTGTTGTGATCTAATGTGATGTCACGTAATGTGATGATGCCTCGTTGTGCGCGCTCATCAGCCAGACAGATAATTATGTTTGTAATGACAACATTGTTTGGCTGGGAGTTTTAATGGAGAACGTCAACAATCGCCGTTCATGATGGTGAGAATGAAAAGTTGGATTGGTGGTGAAAATCATGAGGATGGTGATGATGATGATGACGATGATGGCGATGATGATGATGATGATGATGATGATGATGATGATGATAGCAATGGTGAAGTTCTTGTTTCAGATTATGACGAGCTGAAAAACATTGATGGAAATGTTGTTGATAACGACAATGATGAAGAACAATGCTAATGTACCTTCGAATGCAATATACGATCACATGCTGTTCTGCTTCAAACTGAACAGACCAGCACCGACTTCCACCCACCCGTCTTCAAGTCATGGATGTTTTATTTCTTGTTTGTGTTGTCACTCGCGATTCTGCTTCCGACGTAAATTTCATTTCAACTGAAGAAGCATGTGCGTGCTAACTATTTGGTGATTGGTTGTTGTTGTTTGTGAAAGTTAATTCAGCATGTCTGGAGCATTTTAGAACGCTCAAAATGTGTTTTTGGTTTAATTGAACGTGACTTTGTTGGACTTCCCTGACCGATGAGAAATCATGCTCAGCGTTGGTCCAGCACACCACTCGCGGGAGGTTAAAATATTTTAAAAACTCCGATCTCAAAATATTTAAATTTTTGATTTCGATGAGGTTGAATATTTCAACCAGCACCAGGATGTTGTAATTTTGAGTCAAAGCCGCCAGTCAAGTAACTCATCAAAATGGGGTGCAGTGGTTTGAATTAAATAACGCTTTAGATCGGCAAACTTGTTTTGTTGTTTTGTAACTAAATCCACAGTTTTGTTGATCTGTAGCAGAGGCGGACTATCACCTACATGAGATTGGATGAAGAGACAAGTTGCACAGCAATCTGTGTGGCTGACGTCACAAAACATCAAACAACAACTATAATATTTCTTCATCTGTTCAACAATTTTGTGAGTTGCTTGAACTTGAGTTCTCAAAAAAATGAACCCTTTTAAGAAAAAAAATTCGGTAATAAATCTGCCAGAGAGAAAAATTATGACGGACATTTTTGAAGAGAGCTTCATTATTGGAAGCATGCTTTTATTTAAATCTCGCATGTCTTCGCGAAGGTGTCTTGCTGCAACGCACATACAGTTCAAGTTTATTTTGGTGTCAAAAAACTTCCAAATTCATTTTGTTAAGTTGCCGCTCAACTGAATGGAACTTCATTGGCACTAATGCTGATCATCGGTGAAACAACGTCAAAACAACATCACATTTGCAATGAGTAACATTTCATTTTGAATAAATTAAAATAGCCATCAACTATAAATTTTAATTTTATTTTCAAATGGAAAATACTATACATACATACGTCTTTGTTTGGATTAGCTACATGCAAGCATACACTCAGTCACACACACACACACACACACACACAAACACACACATACTTACAAACATTAAATTCATTTGAAACAAATGAACAAAGAAATCAAAGTCAAAGAACGCACAATGTTCTATGTAAATAATTCCGTTAAAAATAAAAAGCACGTCTTTCTTTGAACATTCACCCTTAAATCATTCCTGGCTGCAACTTCGCCATCACTATCATCCCATCGTCGTCATCATCATTAACGTCATCATCATATCATCCACTTTTACACAAATAATTTTCATAAATATTGTTGTCCTTTATTATAGAACTCATCGCTTAGTTGGAATTAAACTCTAGAGCCATAAAATTGCATCTTCGGCTTCGAACGGCGCACGCACACATCTGCATGCACTGTGATTTGTTTTTCGGACGGAGGCGTTTGAATTTGAACCAGGTCAGCGCTCGTAACACTCTGCGAGACATGGCATCTCTACCGTCACTTTCCAGGCAGCAGCACCATTTGATTTGGTCCTTATTGTCATTGGTGCCATTTTAATTTTCACCATTTTAAGCAACGAGTTGATTTAACACAGTCGGTCACAATTTTTTTAAGGCCACGTCAGTAATCGTGATCCTCCTCCTCCTCATCATCCTCATCATCATCATCATCGTCATCAGTACCGTAAGTATCATCATCGTCGTTAACATCAAAGTTTAATCATCATATCATTTTTATCATTTGCACAATATCAGCAGCATTTTCATTTTTCACCATCATTACCATAACATCACCTTTCCCAAAATCCTCATCATCATCGTCGTTAACATCATCATCATGTTCGACATCATTATCGTCATCATCATCATCATCGTCTTCACCGTAAAGTTAATTTTAAAATACTCACAGCAGCTGCTAGTAGCACGCCAGTGAGCGAGCAGCAGCAGAAGCCAGCGCCAACAAACAACCTTTCAATAGAATTTTAAATCTTCATAAAAATTTTATTACTCACTCATAAAACTATAACGCATACGTGCGTTATGTGTTTAAAAAGAGTAAACATAGACGTATATATTTTCTTTCATTCATTCATTAGTTTATTCATTCATTCATTCATTAGTTCATTCATTCATTTATTCGTTCGTTCGTTCGTTTGTTCGTTCGTTCGTTCGTTCATTCATTCATTCATTCATTCCTTCGTTTATTCACTCATTTGACTATTCATCCATTCAGTTGCTTATTTATGTATTCAATAATAATAATAATAATAACAAAAAGAGAAACAATTATTATTATGGAAATTAATTAGGATCTTCATAGCATGCTACTAACAAAAGAACTTTAATCATTATCATCATAATTTTATTACCTTCATTATTATTATTATTATTATTATTACTACTATTTTTATTATTATTATTCTTTTAATTTTCCTATAATTAATATTATAATTGTTGTTATAAGCTTGTTTAGCTCATTTATGGTGCCGTCAGTTCAATTCTTCGCAGATATTTTGACCTTCCCCTTCCTCCCTTCATTTCAGTTCGTTTCAGAACATTGGACCTATCATAGCACAACTTTTTAAAGAAATCGCTGACTTCTTTCACGGCATTGGAAAACTAATCCCTTATTCCCCAAAGAGCCCTTCTGTTCTCTGTTGAGGCAGTTGTCCTGCGTAGCTAACTCTTCCAGATGTTGCAGAACCCTGCCTCTCTGTATCTTCACCAAGGTTGTAAAAATGATTATGTCCCTTACGGTGTGTCGGAGGAGTCCGATGAAAAATACCCCACTCTTAATTTGGCCCCTCAAAAAAATCCAACTCCCGACTCCTGGTTCCAAACTCCATAAAAACGTTTAAAACTTTTGCATCATGATTGCATCCTAATATCATTACAAAATAAAAAATACACTCAAACCAGTTTATGTAATTGTTTTTTTGGTACTTTATTTTTATGTCTTAATACATACTGGAAAATGTTTAACTTTTTGCATCATAATTTCACCTCATTATCACCATTAAATAAAAATACTCTAAAAAACACTTGAAATCAGTCAGTGAAACTGTTTTTCTTAGTAAAATTTCTTTACTTTTATGTTTTATAACAAACTAAATAAAAATTATGTGACTCCGACACTCTGGTTCCTCATTGGCGCCACCTGTTCGCATCTTTTAAAAGTATCTTCCCAGTAGCTGCGCAAAACATCTCCATCGATGTTGTGAGAGAGATCGGTTGTTTGCTGGACCGTCATCATTTTCACCTCCTCCAATCAAAATGCACCCGGCAACCAGTCAACAATCATTTTGAATAAGTGCTTTCACCTGTTAATATTATCATCATACGATATTTATTTTTGTAATTATTTCATTTTATGTTACCAGTCGTCAAGTGCAGCTGTTGTTGTCCGGTTGTTAGTGGCCTAACGATGTTGCTGCTAATGTTGCCGGTGCATTGCTGGGGAACACTCTACTTCCTCATGAAAGAGAGACAAATAATAAATAAAAAATAGAGAAGGAAAAAGAATAAGAGAGAGAAAGAGAGAAAAAGAAAAAGAAAGGGAAATAGAAACATGACATTTAAAAAATGTAATGCAATATATTCCTCAGAAAGTTGAAAATTTGTTACCACAGCATATCTTTTCATTAAGTTGCACTCTGTTGAGACATTCGTTGCTGTTGTTCTTCTTAATGTTGTTCGTGAAGTTTTTTGTTCAAGTAATTTTTACTAACTGTGTTGCACGCTGAACATTTTTATTTTAACATCTGATAAAATGTTTGTTTGTTGTATGATGACAAATGCGGCTCTGCGAATTTGTGACAATGCACATTCGCAGCAAGCCGGATATAAAGCAATGTGGTTAGAACCGCACCAGTTTGGTTAGGCCAAGAGACTGTCTTAAGAATGAGATCGTGAGTAATAGGTCATTGTATATATAATTAGCTGTAAGCAACTACAAATAGCTGATGTTTATGCACACTATTTAATTAGTCTTCATTAAATTAATGCTTCAATCAACTTATTTGTTGGAAAGAATCCGGTGTGATGGGTTTGGACTGACTTTAATAATATTAGAATCTCAGCCTCCATACAAAAAAATTACTGACTACGATAAAGATTTTGGTTGTTGTTGTGGATGTTGTTGTTATGGTTGTGGTTGCTTTGGTTGCTCTGGTTGTTGTTGTTAGGGTTGTTGTTGTGTATGTTGTTGTTATGGTTCTGGCTGTTTTTGTGGTTGTTGTGAATGTTGTTGTTATTGTTGATACCATTGTTTTTGTCGTGGTTGTGGTTGTAGTTGTTTCAATCAAACAAAGTTATTGTTGTATTTTTATTACTGTTCATGTAAAAATATTGTTAATTGGAAAACAATTAAGACAACAATTGAAGAATTGTTGATTTCAATTTTATTATTATTATTATATTAATTAGTAATTGAATGCATCATTTAGAACTAATCCTTTTTTGTTGTACGCATTTTTCTTTAGGATGTCGAGCTTCGTAGAATATTTTAATTCTTAGTTTTAAAACAATTTTACTTTTATTAAATTTTTATTCATTAACAATTTTTTTAACGTGTGATTTATGATGAAAATAAAATGATGTTCCCATTATTATTATGGGCGTGCCCCATAACGGGACGTTGCCGTCTTCACGAGGTGCCTCCATTTCAAGCGATCATGAGCAAGTCCACAGGCTGAGTGAGGACCGTGGTTTATGAGGGGCAGGTCCGTCTCCACTGAGCGCACCCATGCCTGTCTTGGATGGCCGGTGAACTATTTTAATATTGCCAAAAATATTACCATTTCTCGTGCCTCATTTAATTACAACGTTTCAAATAATTTATTGAACCAAATATAACTGCGTAGATAGTAAAGGACGGTCGGTGAGACAACGTTGTCATTGTTATAGTTTTTATTGCTATTGTTATTGTTAATGATAATAGTAATAATAACATTATTATTACTACTATTACTATTTTTATTATTAGTTTTAAAAGTAGTAGTAGTGGTTGTGGTAGTAGTAGTAATAGTAGTTTTTGTTGTAGTAGTGGTGGGGGTGGTAGTAGTAGTTGTAGTAGTAGTAGTACTGTTACATTACAATTATTGTCAGTTAAATTATCTATTATTATTATTATTATTAATATTATTTATATTTTCTCTTTGTGATTAATTTTATGAATGGCTGCCAATTGTGACTTATATTTTATCGCAACGCTTGTCACCGAATCGCATAATCATTGTAGATATATTATTTATAATGCATGTCATACGATGTCAGCTAACAATAAATATGCTTCATATTGGCTAATGTTAACAATCACATTAAGCATGAACATGTGACCATACAAACATAGCATAAAGAACGTACGAACGAGTGAATTTGTGATCGTATTCACGTACATTTATCCATTCAATAAGTTTGTCTGCTTGTAGTGTGGTTTTAGTAGTTTTGTTCAACATGTATATGATACTTATAAACATTATTTGTTGTACAAATATATACTTATATGTGAGCACGTGCTCTTTGATATGTTTGTGTTTGTGTATGTGCGTGTGTGTGTTGTGTGCGTGTGTGTTTTGTGTGCACCATCCCAGACAAAAGAGTCTGATGAGTAGTTATTACAACGAGTGTAACTTAATAATTTGATAGAATGCTGCATATCATCGCGACAGTTCATATTTCGTTCAATAAGATGTCTGCTGAGGTCGTTTCTGTAGTTTTAATTGATCGTCTGTAACAAGTTGAAGAAATTTTTATTTTTTTTCCGATGAATCTGCTATTGAATCATTTAGTAGGATCGAGTTCTTATAAACAGTTTGAAAGTTGTGAGTTGTGTGTGCCTGTAGACGACCATTCTACTATTATTTTACTATTCCCTGTCTCATAACAGTTAAAACATTGATTCAGACATATTGTAAAATAATTAATAAATACGTTCGGTCATGGAAAAATGTGAATGAAGAACAACTTGCCAAAGCCCTCTCCAGTCCCCAGGCCATGCCAAAATGACGATGTTAAATATGATTTAAAAAAGATAATGATGAGTTAAAAGAATTGTCAACAAATTTGCCCCTTTGCGTGTGATTTACGACAGAGGTGAGCGCATGGCACCTTAGTTTGACGATGATTGTCGACAGGATAAACTAATCTGCAGACAAATGGAAAGGTCTTACAAAAATTTATTGACGACTGATCATCGAAATAACTGGCTGGTTTCTTTGAGGACAAGAAATAAACTTTATTCTAAAAAACGTACATCTTATTGGAGGAATTCACTTAAAACTAACCACGGTTCTAAAAATCGTTGGCAGATTGTGATCAAGGTTTATGCAGAGATAAAATTATTATTTCTACCAACGTTTCGCTTTTGTCATCTTTTAAATCTTGTTTTATTATCCATTTTTCAAAAGATTTTGGAAACTGAACTTGGAAATATAATAATCAATTCGCCTTCGAAAACAAGTTCACTAGGCACTTGTTTATTTGTTTTCTTACAAGTTTTTTCAATCTTTGCCTGCGGTTAGGTGAATTTTCCTGCAAATTTCAAACATGCCAACGCTCTGCTAAACCGTTTGACAAACAACAATCTAATCCCTGCATACGACCTATCTAGTGCAGGTAACCCAACCAGCAAACAAGTAAACAAAGAGTTTTTTGATTAAATCGATTCAATATTTTACCCATAATTGTTCCATGATTTGTTTTTTAGTATTAATAGAATATTTTTAGTTTATGTTGTTAAAGATATTGGTGTTGAAATTAATGTTGAATTTGTTGTTGTTGATGACGTTGATGTTTTTTTTTGATGGTTTCGTTGTTTATTTTAATGTGTAACTTATGTTTTTTGTCGTTATTTTTGATTATTTTTTCATTTTCATATTTTTTATTAATATTAGCTATTTATGTTTTTTCACAAAAAAATGTTTAATTATTTTTGAATAACTTAACAGCTCATTTTAATTTAACAAACTTGATGAGGCTCAATAAAAAGCCATCTCCAAACTCTGGCAAATATAATTACCAAATTATATCAACATATTTCGCCTCTGAGATCTTTTTAAAGGGCGCATAGCATACAAACACACAATCAAACATATTTTAATTGAATGCAAAAAATATGATCAACTTCGAAGAAAATATCAGCTTCCAAAAGACATTTGAATGTTGTTTCAAGACCAAAACATGACTAATACAAAACTTTCTTCCATTCGTTACAGAAATAGAAATCTTCAATAACATTTAGAATAGATATTACAAAGACAAAAATGAAATTACACTAACAACATCAATAACAAAGTCGTTTACAACAATAGTGAATTTAGCCAAAGGCCCAATAGTTGAAGCACTTTGCTGAATATTCCGAATATAAAAAAAACATCTCAATAGCTTTAAAAAACAGTAAACGAATCCTCTCTACCCAACAATTCGAGATTATATTCGTGAGTAAATTCATTATCTTGTTCAAATTGAAACGTATTAACCGCTATCGCGATCACAATAAATCTTTCATCTTTCTCAATAATTCTACTTCTAACTCCTCTACTCTTACTTTCGGGGTACCTCAGGGTTCTATCCTTGGCCCTCTTCTATTTATACTCTATACTTCTGAACTACCTCGTATTATTAATAACTTTTCTTTCTCTAGTCAACTATATGCTGATGATTCTTACATTTATACTTCTTTTCCTCCATCTAATTTCAATAGTGTTCTTCATAATTTATCTCTATGTCTTTCTTCAATTATTGCTTGGTCTGACTCTATGTGTCTTAAACTTAATCCTTCTAAGTTTGAATTAATTTGTTTTAATAAATCTAAACACTCTATTACTATTCCTCCTATTATCTTACCTGATTCTAAAACTCTTGATGTCTCTCATAAGTTTCGTAGTCTAGGTTTTATCTTTGATTCTACTATGTCTCTCTCTTCTCAGATTAATAGTGTTGCTAAAAGCTCTTACTTTCATCTACGTAGAATAAAAAAACTTTTGCCTTTTCTTGATGATCCTACTCTTCTCCTTCTTGTTACTTCGTTAGTCTTATCTAGGATTGATTATTGTAACTCGCTCTACTATGGTCTTCCTGACTCTATACTCTATCCTTTAAGTAAAGCTTTTAACTCTGCTGCTCTAGTTGCTCGTGCCCCTTTCTTTTCTCATATATCTCCATATCTTGTTCTCTTGCACTGGCTACCTATAAAATATAGAATAATTTTTAAAATTTGCACGTTCATGTATAAGTCTCAATCTAAATTATTTCCTAAGCATTTATCAGCTATATTAATTGAACCTAAACGCCCCGGTTTACGCTCGTCTTCTTCTTTTCGCTTTTTCTTAACTCGTGTTAAACACTCTTTTGCCAAATCTGCTTTTGCTTTTTCTGGTCCTTTTCTCTGGAACTCTCTACCTACTTCTCTGACTACTTCTCCATCACTTGCGAAGTTCAGAGCGGATCTCAAGACCCATCTGTTTTCAAAATTCATTGAGGAGAGTGTTGAACATCGCGGAAGTAGCGCTTTATAAGCTAATTGATTGATTGATTGATTGATTGATTGATTGATTGATTGATTGATTGATTGATTGATTGATTGATTGATTGATTGATTGATTGATTGATTGATTGATTGATTGATTGATTGATTGATTGATTGATTGATTGATTGATTGATTGATTGATTGATTGATTGATTGATTGATTGATTGATTGATTGATTGATTGATTGATTGATTGATTGATTGATTGATTGATTGATT